GCAAATGTGCATATAAATACCATAAAAGATACCTTGTGTTATGTAAGATATATTCTTATTGAATATTCATATATATATATATCAATACGTGTGGGTGAATTCTGCTTTTTCAGAAATTATTACCATCATAGAGAACGCATAGTTGAATGTCTTCCTGAATTCGATAATCTTTATATACAAGTTCCTTGTTTCTTGCCAGTTCTTCTCAGCTAAAATAGCTAGCTAACTGGATGGATAATCCAAAATGTCTTATACAACTTTACTTATCTTTACGCTTATTAGATACGAAAAATTAAGTTGTTTTTTATGTATGTAATTGAATATTTGTTATACAATTATGCTTACATTGTTAATGATTGGCAAAAAATAATAAAATTTAATGCACAGATAGATAGATGCACATATAAATATTCTAAAGTATAATGTAGATTTCGTCATAACAAGCGAGCAAAGCCGCGAAATTTAGTTATACTTAAAATGTCGAAACTCTTTTAAGAAATATCCAATACTCTATTGGACATTTTATAATCTACCAACTCGCCGCATCCTATGTCAATAATAGATAAGCTTTTAAGAGCGTTTTTCGTATATGTAGTTGGTTGTATTTACCTAAAGATTTATCACAATCGGAAAATACAAGTTGTGGAATCCAAAAGACGCGTCCAATGTATTCTGTTAGCTACATTCTTTACTATTAAGCTGATTATAAACTTGTTTTATGGATTTTTAATGACAAATTGCTTAAAGTACGTTTTTGACAGAATTTTATTCAATGATTTAGTATCTCAATCCATATAGATGTAGGTAATATATTTAATTATCATTATCATCTAGCTCTATCTTATATTATTAGAATCGACATTTCTAAGTTTTATTTTTATTTATTAAACTTACACTCGGGGACTGCCTAGTGTTTCCCTCTCTGCCACACCACGGTACCCGCACGGTGAATCCTTGGAATGCTAAGAAGTTAGTCTCACAGGTAATCTATTTTCAAAAGTGCTTCAATGTAAGTTTATTTGAATAAATGATTTTCTATTCTATTCTATTCTATTCTATTCTATTCTGTGAAGAATATTGTGCTGTAGTCTTCTAATAAATTCTTTGCAACAAGCCGCTATTATTTTCGATCAATAGTCGAGACCGATGCGGGTATATTTTCCCGCCTCTAACAACCTACACCATAGATACATAATTTAGACTTGAAATATAACAATGTTACAATGACTGTAGGCCCTCAAGCACGTACAACGATCGCAATCAGCTTTTTAATTATTTTTTTTAATCACGAAAGCATTGATGCTGCGGCCTACCACACCGTTCATTGACTCGCATCGGGAGAAAGTTGTTAATTAAGACCTCTGGTGATTGGCGCTCGATTGTGTAATGGAACGCAATAGAGCGACCATTTGGCTGTATAGGGAAATACCTTTGCCATAGTTGCGGATGTAAAGGAATAAATGGACTCGTATAAACTATGAATTTGAATGGAACTTAAATGGAACGATAAGTGCACTGAATGGACTGCGCGTAATGACATCTGACGTAATTGTCGGATATCTAATGCTATCCAAATAGACTGTATACATATATGTAGGTACGTCAGATATATTTATGTAAAAATATATACTTGGTACAAAAAATAAATTATTAAAGAAATAAAGAATTTATTCAAACCAAAAACAAAAATGATATAATGTTACATTGATATAATATTAAAACATCCAGCTGTATCTGGGCACAGATTGCCCTCACAAGAGGTGATCAGGTAGATAAGTGAATATTTTAAATATTCTTTTCTTGCCATATTACATTATTACTTACCTCATAGAATACAAGACATTATTAACAATAGGAATTTTAAAATATTTAAAGCATCTAAAATATCGTAATACGGCTGGAAACTGTACAATATCTTAAATAATGAAAATAAATAACTCACCAATCTTTCTTATACGGCGTAAATTTTGTCACAAAGAAAAAACAAAAACGTAAAAGTTGAAAATTTTGTATACAAAATTATGTGTCAAAAATAAATAAATTTATAAAAAGAGGTCTGTCGCCAACATATCATAGCAATTTCTGTGATCAATGATCAGCTGTATGTATATTGATGTACTAAAAAGTTATAGTTGAATAACTGAAGTATTTATAATTAAATATTCATTTGTATGTAATTTAATACACATTAATTTTAATACAGTAAGTAGCCAGTATTGTTTGTATATTAACTTAACATATTTAGGTACCTTCTGCGTACCGCTACTTACCGTAAGACATTCGGAATTTTCAACCATAAATAATAGACCGTACGTTGAGACTAATTGATAAATGGCGCCAATTGTATACATTTTTAAAAAGACAAATATCAATTTACGGCCTAAGAACCGTATTATTATTCTCCATCTACGACTTTGTATTAATATATGACCTCTAGATTTATTTACAAAATAATATGTTACACTGTAATATAATACCTAACTACTCTGTACTGTGAAATTAATTCCGAACGAGAAGCAGTATTGATTAATATTTTTCTTAGAAATCCGAAGTATTTAAAATAAGAACTTTAGGTTTCATTTTCTTCATATTTAAGTATCTACTTTTTACTACTTTTTTTAGAGTAAACCGAACTAAAAACGTAAACTAGAACTCTTAACGTAAGAATTTACCACGGATAAATTCTTTCGTTAAGAGTCTATGATATACATATATTTATTCCAAAAAATCCTATTATCATAATATCATATCACAGTTAATGCATTATAAAAATTAGTTACGATTAATCTTTTTACGGTAATTCATGTAAAATGTTAAGGTAATAAATAAGGCGTACTTTTTTCAAAAATGTTCTGTAATTATAAAATTTATTTAACTATTTAGATGTTCTTGTAATAATTAAATTCATTGAATAAATATATAAGAAATATTATAAAACATGTTTAAGTCAGTAATTTCGACACAAAAAACGTTTAGACAAACTGGTTATATTGTCTTAAATATATTTATTATCAAAAACGTCGCTTTCAGTCACTCACAAAAATTGGCATTTTTAAGAGCCTTGACTTGCATATTTTGATCTCGTCTAATAGTGTATACTTTCAAATTACGATAACATGCGCTACCTATATTAAACAAGTTTCTAATATAGAAAATAATCTATTACTTTAATATATGTACTTTACTTTAAGTAGTCTAACTTAAATACATTCATTTAAAATATTTTAAATAGAAAGAAATTCTAGCTTTTCTCTTATGCTTTTTTTCTAAGTACATACTTAGGTACTTATATAAAACACTCGATGATTACTTTTGCAATTCATAGTATTTAATCGCTTGAAAATTTTATAACAAAATTATGTTAAATAATCTAACACATTTTGTCTAAAAAACAGGCTTATTTATTATTTAATGACTTGTTTTATATCACAATGATTATAAAAAAGTTAAATGTATATCTCTGGTTCCGATCTAACTCATCACATTCGCGTTAACCATGATTATTATCGGAAACAGGCCATCGTCCAGCAATAAACAGATATCGGCAATTAACTCCGCTAATAGAATCTGTTGTCTGCTACCATATTTTCTTGTAAAGAATTCAAAGTAGAAAAACAACGCGCACGCGGCCAGCGTAGCGACTGGAAAGCGTAAAACTTAAATGCAGAATGATAACGAACGGTACTTCACATATACTAGTCGTCTAATGAAACATTATTCCACATAATCCGGGGAAATTATGAATATAAACTTGCAACACCGAAAAAATGGCGCGCATTCATTGAAAAAGTTAAAATTAAAACAACATTCCACAGGCTTGTATTTAGATTGCAGTTAGCGTCATATATCATTATAAAAAATTGTAAAAACCTATTTACAATTATTTTTTTCTTAATTTTCAATGCGAAAGTATTTTATTATCGGTTTACCAATTCTTATCAAAATTCAAGATTCTAAAAAAGTTTTAATTCTTTATTCTCAAAAAAGCCTTTTTTTTCAGAAATTATTTACCTGATCGTAAACCCCCACTTTAACCGCTCTATTGTATGGTTCTCGTAGAATATAGAGCTTTTTCTCCGGCGGCAGACGGCCTGGGTGGTGTATGGGTTTAGCACACCGCCTTACTTCCGATGATCGCGGGTTCGACTCCTAAAATATATCTACATATTTTTATCAATTGTCTAGTACCCATAACACAAGCTCTGCTATACTTGGGACTAGATTGCGCTGTGTGAATTGTCCCGAGATATAATGTTATATATATTATGTCCCGAGGGCCTAGTTCGTACATTTATAAAAATGTTAGTTACTAACGTTCTGATTGTGACCTTGTCACCCAATCTAATCGCAACTAAAAGTGAGTGGCGCTATCTATTGTTAAACTTGAACTCAGCCTAAAACGATGGGGTCAACGTATTAATTTGCATGATGATCACAACGCCGGCATTTACTAATGCAATGTGTTATTAAGTTATTAGAGTAATCAGAATATTAGGTAGGTATATGTAGGTTTTATTTTTTAAATTATTCATAATTTTGCTATATAATATCAATCATAAATACCTACTGGTAAAAATTATTAGTGAGATCCTGTTATTCTTAGACTACAATAATACATATAATAAAATAAAAAGTAGGGTTTACAAGTACAATGTACTTATTTAGGTACAAACAAAATTGAAAAATAAATATATTCACTATAAAAACTATTTATTAAAACTTAAAAATAACAGAAAAATACGATCACAACGTAACAATAAGAATTAAACATCCGCTTCAAGTAGATAACAGTCTTTGAAGTAACTAATAAGGTAACAAATTCAATATTTTTACAGATAAGTAAACTAAAAACATTGTAAGAGTAACAAATTTTGTGAGATTGCCGAGTAAAGTCTGTATTATCTGTCAAACTTCACCAAAAATAAGTATTTAATAATTATTAAAAACTATTGTAACTCAAACCTTACTGTAATTTCTTCATTTCGATGTAGGTATACAAAAATCACATCAACTTCCAATTGTGATATATGTACTTATTTAGTATCATATAACATGGAGTAAATGCTATCAACTGAACTAAGATATATAACATATACATACATAAGATATGTGTATATATCTTATATATCTATATATATGTCAGTTACACATAAAACCGTCCAAAATCGTTTGACAGGTAATTCCAATGCCAAGTATTTTTAAAAAAAAATTTAAAATTGAATTTTAACTATTGTTTATTCTTCCAAATAAATAGAATATAAACTAATTTATACATCTACATATATTATGCATTATAAACTCTTAAAATTTTTAATATATGCGTCATGGTTCATTAATGTGTATTTCATGATTGTAGGCAGCATTTTTATTTCGATATATCAACACTTAATGTCGTCACGCTATAACTCTAATTGCCATTAACAACAGCAAACAACAGTCCCATCTGCTCACGATAAGATATGACGATAATATAACTCTTGTATGTATTTATCACAAATGTAAACATATATACGAAATTGTTCATTATTGTTTCAATTAAATCACATTCTAAAGACACCGAATTTACTGTCCCTAAATGGAGCATTCAAGGCAGCTGATAAACTAAGACCTATGACTCTTCTGGTATCTCTTGGAGCTATAATTCCATCATCCCAAATTCTTGCTGTACTATAGTACGGTATACCTTCTTTCTCAAATTGAGTTTCTATAGGAGTTCTCACTTTCTTCTCGTTTTCATCAGTCCATGCCTTACCCTCTCTAATCGCTTTCTCTTTAGCAATTAAAGATAACACAGTAGCGGCTTGAGGACCACCCATTACTGATATTCTAGCATTTGGCCACATGTACATAAAGTTCGGAGAAAAAGATCGTCCACACATACCATAGTTTCCAGCACCGAAACTACCACCTACCACAACAGTTATTTTAGGTCCTTTGAAACAACTAACTGCTGTTACCATTTTAGCACCATTTTTTGCAATACCACCAGCCTCTGCGTCTTTTCCCACCATGAAACCGGTGATATTTTGAAGGAATAATAAAGGTATTTTACGAGCTGCACAGAGTTGAATGAAATGAGATCCCTTTAACGCCGCTTCAGATTCTAATACACCATTATTTCCTATTATTCCTATGGGATGGCCATAAAGAGATGCAAAGCCACATATTAAAGTCTCGCCGTATAATTGTTTGAATTCATGGAATCTACTACCATCAACTACTCTAGCAATAACTTCACGAATGTCAAAAGGTCTCTGTATATTTGCCCCTACTATACCGTGTAAATCGTCAATATTGTGTACTGGTTCTTCTACTTTTGCAGCATAAATTCTAGCTTTCTGTTCGTTATTCCAATTTAAATTAGCTACAATGTTCCTAGCTAAATGTAACGCATGTTCGTCATCTATAGCACAATGATCTGTAACACCAGACTGTCGACAATGTAAGTCTGCCCCTCCCAAATCTTCCGCAGATACTGATTCCCCAGTAGCTGCTTTCACTAGTGGTGGTCCAGCCAAAAAAATAGTTCCTTGGTTCTTAATGATAATACTCTCATCAGACATACTAGGGACATAAGCTCCGCCTGCTGTGCATGATCCCATCACGACTGATATTTGTGGAATTCCTTCGGATGACATATTGGCTTGATTATAAAATGACCTTCCAAAGTGATCTCTGTCGGGAAATACGTCTGCTTGATCTGGCAAGTGAGCACCACCGGAATCAACAAGATAAATGCAAGGAAGCCGACATTCTTGTGCAATGGACTGCGCTCGCAAATGTTTCTTTACAGTCACAGGAAAATAAGTTCCTCCTTTGACAGTCGCATCATTCGCAATGATCATGCAGTCGTGGCCGTGAACTTTACCAATAGCAGTAACAATGCCGGCACACGGCACTTGGCCTTTGTACATGTCAGTCGCAGCCAATGTGCTCAGCTCCAAAACGTCGCTCCCCTCATCCACTAACCGGTTAATCCTCTCTCTTACCAGCAATTTTCCTCGCGCTATGTGCCTCTTAACTGATTCTTCTGGACCTCCTTTGAGGACTTCACTGGTTTTCAAGCGAAGTTCATCAACGAGCTCATCCATTTTGAGTCTATTCTCTTGGTAATAAGGGTCACTTCTGTTCGGCTCAGTGCCGATGACAGTAGCGTGGCTGTTGTGTCGGCATTGGACGCATAATCTCCGCGTTCCCCTAAGTACTTTGAGCATTTTCGTAATAATATGAATCACACACAAAAACACGACCGGTCGGCGACTCGCGGTCGCAGTACTGACGATAACATACCGTTATCTACACAAATAAGCGACACAACAATAAATTGTACACTCGATTCCTCGTCGATAAACACGCATTATTTAATTTTGTAAATTGTTACAAACAATGACAATTGTAAATGCACATTTTACGTTACGGGCTGTAAAGCAAGAAAGAAACATATTCATTTATCACATCATATAATAGTTTTGTATAATAATAAAATAAATATATATTAATATACAAAACGCATATTTGTTTTTATTCAAGAATCGTAGCTAATTATTTTGTAAATCCCATCTGTTTAATATGGATAACTATATATATTTCATTATTGTATGTAGTGCTTCAATTAACACCTAAACAAGACATGACCCAGTTCTCTCATTTCATGTTCAGGTAGATATTACCAACATCTACAGAACCAACGTGCCCACAATATAATTTCCTGTCATAAAAAATATTGCACATAATTGCTAAACTATACCATTAAAATGTTAGGCACGTAATTTAAAAATACTTTCATTAGTTTTACAATATAATTGAGACAGCTTTAATCATAGCTACAATATTTGTAAATTTAGCTAAAGGAATCCGAAATATACACATATATATATATAGATTTCTGAAAAACAAGCTGTTACTGATGTACTGACTGATGTATGTATGACATTTAAATGACATTGTATTTTCTACTAAGATATAGTTTAATAATGAACTTTGAGAGACAACAACACAAGCTTTTATATGTTCTGCAGCTGTGTCTATGATCAGACCCGGCTAAGTAGTTAATCAGTAAAGGAAATTACAACATGCAAACCATAACAACTTACTATAGAAAACAAAACATTGAATTCACGAGTTTGCAATATTTTATACTAGAGTTCCTATGGTCACATCCGGATTTCAAAAATTGAAAGTACCTGAATGTTTACTTGCGATTCGTGAAATCAGATAAAAATCAATCGAGTGACATTATTACGGTATAGCTGCCATATTCAGTTCCTATTGAGTTATTTTTGTTTATGCAAGCCAATGTAATGTACCACTATATGCCAAAAAAATAAACCCATTATTAGCTTTAATATTGCTACATATATTATTGTAACTAGAAATGACATCATTGGTTACCAATAAAATAAAACAAAAAAGCATCTGGGATAATATTACGATCGCTCTGTGCTACAATTTTGTATATAAAATTAATTACCTATATAATATAACTTGAAAACTTAACTAAAAAACTTTACTCTTTAAATTTCAGTTGCAAGATAAGTACGAATTTTTAACTCGCTCGGTGAGTATCGAATCTAGTCTAAAACACAGTGATAAATAAGATTTGACGACACCATCATGACTATTGAAATCAAAACTTCTAAGCTTCATTAGAGAAATAAGAGACGTCAATTGTCCGATTGAAGCCTATTGAAATATTAGTGTACTCAGAATAGGCGGGCAGCGACCGGTCGCTCAGTTACAGCTTACAGCTACAGGTGAATGACACAATTCAATCATTTCACTTTCATCCGACGCGAGGTGGCGACACTTTCTTACATATGACGTGGAACAGGTGTAACTACTAATGAAGTATTAAAGATAATCACCAGCAATATTGTATTGACGGTCAGGGCGGTCCAATGATTAGTTCATCTTCCAATGGTTGAGAGATCGATCCCTGCAGAATACTCATATTAGTATTTATGCCTGTATTTTTTTATGGATAATGATAGAATGAAGCACCACCTGCGCTAACGGTTTAAGCTGGCAGGCGGTGGATCAGCCATAGGAGGAGATAAACATTAAGTCAGGTCAGTTAGCACATCATGATAAATGGCAATTTATCACGATGGTTTCCAAGGGGAATCGCGTGGAGATCAAGCTGACATGGTACATTGCTAGCAATGGGGTTAAGTCTACATCACTAACAATTCCCTTCCCCCTATGAGCATGTCTTAGTCTGGGTGATTTTTTTAAAGATTTTTACAAAACAATATCAACTGTCTAGTAGGTCCTTATAGTCAAGTTCTGCTTAGTCTGGGAATAATAGCAATTGACATGACCCCATTTCCATGGGTTATTTGAAGCCAACGTCAGTGACCGAACCTATGTATTTCAATTACAAGAGAGTCTTAATGAAGAGAGAAATATAAATCGATACCAAAGATCTATACGACGTGGTAGTAACCCACTACGCTATTTCTCTCCATTATTATTATTACATCAATTTATTACCCACTATATTAATAAATATTATATTAATGTATTCATCATGTGGCCTTGCGCAAACTGCGTCAAGTTTTTATAATGCACAGCTTTAGATATAACCACAGCCTAGCGCAAACATCGACTAATGAATATTTATTTGTTGGCAGGATCGCGATGAGCAAACGAAATTGGAGATGAAACACCGGCAAGAGGAAGATGATTTGTATAGAAAATTCTCTAAGCATCGCGAAGAAGAGAACAGACGAATACGGGAAGAAATACAGGTATCAAAGTTTAGTGAAATTATTAGAATTATGGCATTATTTAATTACATACCTGTATTAAGTCATTCTACCGTTGATAAACATTATAATTAATTAATAATATACATACTCTGATGATACGTACATTTGGCATATGAAAAATTAAAGGTAAGATACCAGCGCTTTTAATATAAAGGCGCTGGTATCTTACCTTTAATTTTTCCTTATACTTTACTACTTATAAAGCATAAGAAAGATGTTTAAGGAGTACGCCTAATTCACAAACGTGTAATGTTTCTCTAAATACTTCATAACGTTAAAATTGTTAATTTGTTTCAATATTAAATAACTTCAAAATATTAGAACAATTTCCAATTTTTCGCCATTAGTCACAGCATTTATTTATTTAATTGAAATATTAGAAAATAGTTATTGATTATTTATGAAATAATTAATTATTGCATATCGATAGGATGAATGGGAACGCGAGTTGGAGAGGCTTACAAACAGATTTCAACAAGAGATGCAAGTCAAAAAGCGACGGCCAGACGCCGAGATTGGCGCGCTAACACTGCGGCATCAGCAAGAACGGGCTGATCTCGAAAAGAACATGACGCTAAGAAGAGACAAGAAGAAGGAAAGCCTCACTAGAAAGATGTTAGAGCACGAAAGGTAAAGCTTATGAAAGGAACCAATTTGTACTTAACTTTAACCAAAGACAATAACATAGCGTTTCTGTAGTGTTGTTTGAAATTTTAAATTTAATAAGCAGGTATAACAAAAACAAGTACGTAAATCATAAATGATTTTATATTGCTACCATTAAGAATATGGTAGATTATTATTGCTTTTTAATATGTAGGTATAGTAAGGAAAACTAATTTTTGAGTAGGTATATTTTTTTTCTGAAAGTCATACATATATGAATTCTTATTCTTAATACATACATTGAAACAATGGAAAAATAAGGAAGAAAATTTCATTGTTAGTTGTACCTGCTGTTTTATTTCTACCTCCAAGTAGCTTGCTGTGTTCTGGTTTAAACACCTCAGAAGTGGCAATGCATTATTTACAGGTGTTACATAGCATCAAATGGGCAAAATGTTTGTTTGCCACCATCGTGGTATAAAAAAAACATTTTGCGATTGAAATACTGTTCATGATCCATAATGCGGCACTTTCTATAAGGTGTACAGTTAGTTTGCAATTCCGGTTATATAAAAAAATACTTCCGGTTTCCGGTTTCCGGAAAATATGCTGTATAGTGATATTCGGTGGAAAGTAGTAAAAAAAATTACAACATCTACTCATCACCTTCGTTAGGTCGCTGGTTCAGGGCTTCCGAAATATACTTTGTCATTGCTGATTATCTAACTACTTTTGTGTAATTATTATTATGTAATTTAAAAAAAAACTATTTATGTCAGTTTTCTAGTTCCTATAACACAAGCTCTACTTAGCTTGGGGCTAGATGGCGCTGTATGAAGTCCTGAGATATTATTGTAATTACTAATACTTACAGGGCAGCAACAGCCGCACTAGTCGAAAAGCAAAGTCATGAGATGATGGAGCTCATTCAGGAGCGACGCTCCGAGTACATGGCGGCATCCTCACTATACTTGGACGGTGAGGAAGCGCCCCCGTACCCTGCCAGAGCTCCGGCACCGCTGCCGCCACTCGTCTCCAAGTTCCATATATACACAGACCCTGCGGAGTTTGCGGATGTTGACAAAATAGCTATTTCGGTAAGACTAAAAGAAACACGTTATGTAGTATTAATATAAATTAAGTATCAATTATACCATTAATAAAAATATCACACATATAGATATATCTTTTTATAATAATAATAACTACTTACAAACATACATAATATAAACATACTTTATGAGTAAAGTTCCTAATCATATATTCCCTACTGTATTCCATTCGCGATACAACTTTGGCTCTACTTTCTTGAGTACTTTAAAAAAGTAAATAAACAATGGCATCAGTAATTCGTGACAGAAATGACTACGATTAAAATGTATCGAGTGTTCTAGTGCACTATAATGCAAATTAAATTTCTTAAATATAGGTACATTCATAAAATTCATTCACAAAATTTAATTCTATGTAAACTTTTCTCTTTGGATTGGAAATAAAAATATTACCCGGAATATTACAGAATCCTTAACCGTTACTCCTCTCGAAATCGTAGATGAGCCTATTCAATTAAAAATTTTACTTATCTTTGGCAAAAACAAGAATTTAAAAAAGATCTAGACAAGATACATAAGTCAGGTAAAATTAATATATCTTTTTTATTTTAGGTGGCGCAAGAAGACCAAAAAACGTTCACAGATCTAGTCCGGCAACTGGTAGGCAGATGTGCCACAGACGTAGAGAAGGCTAGAACCATATTCCGTTGGATCACAGTCAAAAACCTCAATAACATACAGTTCGATGACAATTTAAGAGGCGACTCGCCTCTCGGTCTACTCAGAGGCATCAAACACGGCACCGAGAGTTACCATGTATTGTTTAAGAGACTGTGCAGGTTAGTCGATAATTTTTTTATACTAGTGATCGCCCAGTGGTCGAAATCCAACCGTAATTAATTTAACATTCAGTAAGACTACATGCAAATAATATTGAAGACAAACAATTTTAATCTATTCTCAATTTGACCACAGACTAACAATAAACAAAAGAGTATATTTTATTTATTTACTTTATGTACAAACTTTCGTATTTACAATAGCAAACACAGCAATCAAAGTTGTGCGTGTTAGCTAGAATAAAATAAACTTGAGCTTCTACCACTAAGATGAAGCAAACATACCTATAAAAATTTCTATAAGTTTCTATTTGATTGCGTACTTCTGCAGCTATGCAGGCTTACACTGCGTCGTCATCAAAGGATACAGCAAGTCAGCCGGTTATCAGCCAGGAGTTCGCTTCGAAGACAACCGTTTCCGCAACTCCTGGAACGCTGTCTACGTAGCTGGAGCATGGCGATTTGTGCAGTGCAACTGGGGAGCCAGGCATTTGGTTAACGCTAAAGATGCGCCCAAGCCCGGTAATAGAGGGAAGAGTGATAGTTTGAGGTTAGTCTATGTTTAGTTTACGTAATTTGTTTAATTTCTTTTACGTCTTCATGTATTTTTTCTGTACTATACTCATACATGAGTATGTTATGTGTTTATAATTGGTGAATAAATAATTTATCGGATCTGTCTATCTATCTATCTAAACATCCCCTCTAGGGGGAAATACTTACTTAGATACTTTCTCCTTCTTTATGAGTTACGCCTAGTTTGAGTCGACGAAAAAAGGAGAGTGTTAATAATAACAAAGAATAAATACGAGTAATTTCATTGCTAGCAATTGGGTGGCCCATTGCTTGACTCAAATAAAGACAACCAATATATGTAATATAAATACATATCAGGTTAACCTCCTATCTAAGAGTCATATTTAATACTTAGTGAATTCACAACAATGGACTAACTGACTTTAATTAATCACCGACAATCCAGTACTAATTTAAAAAATCACAATTATTCCAGATACGAGTACGACGACCATTACTTCCTGACAGATCCCCGTGAGTTCATCTACGAGTTCTTCCCTCTTCAACCGGACTGGCAGCTACTGAAGACGCCCATCACGCTGCATGATTTCGAAGAGTTGCCCTTTGTACGCTCATTGTTCTTCAGATATGGGTTATACTTCAGTGATCCCAACACTAAAGCCGTTATGTACACTGACTCGACTGGTGAGTGATTTATTCTATAAAACTTTTCTTAAGGTAAATTTATATCCACCTGATGATATTATTACTTCAAATGGCTGAACATTATTAAAAAGTATATCACATATTTGTACTCTTAATTTCAGAAGATAGTGGTTACACTACTAGAATAAATAACGTGTTAACGTTATTTATTCTAAGACCTATATTCCTATACTTTACAAATAATTTTAATTTGAAAATTTGCTAGGCCAATTAGGTGTAAAAAGGTAACACTTTTGCCTTTATAATATATGTGAATACAAACTACAAATACTTGTCTTTATAACTGTTACAGTTAACGGTTGCCACTTTCCATAGATTAGATAGGTGCCACTAGTTTGTAACTTCAATCACATAAAAACTATTCTAAAACATACATAGACAAGGGAGTTTTCCCAACTGCCTAGATGTGATCACGTAATGGCATACTTAATTCTTCCCTCAAACACTCACGTTGTTAAATACCGCCTAGTTACCGGCCCAAAGTTCCTAAACTCTACAGTATGAGGTTTTCAAAAAGGTTTCTGATGCGTTGGCAACGCGCTCTTGACCCCTAGTGTTTTAGGCGCCCATATGTTCCGATAACAACCTACCAGCACATGGATGCCTTTGCCACCATTGTATAAAAAATATATAAGTATTATGGTAATATAGGTGCGGCGACTATGCGCATAGCCATGCCGGCACATATGCAGAGCTCCCTGATCTTCCACTACAACCTGAAATTCTACGACACAGAGGGCGACGGTTTTGATGGAGTCAGTCTCAAAAGATTCGTCATGCAGGTAAGCAGGCCAAACCTAGCTAGGAATTAATTAATTAAGTTAGCTAATGAATTAATAATCATTAACAGTGATTAAAATAACTATAATAAAGGGTGCTGCTTGTGGGGACTGGTCTGTACGGATAACGGACACTAATTAAATTATTTCCTTTTGACAAAATTGCATATGCTGGTGGCCACTATATTTCAAATTTGAATTTAAAAATGAATCTGTATATATGTATGCATGTACAAGCTCAGAGCTGAGTATCTTGTCAGTTCTTCTTAGTCCGAAAGCACTCCAAGTGACGGTAGATTTGACATATCATAAAAGTCTGTAATAGACTTACATAAATAAAGATATTTTGATTTTGAATAAAAAAAATATACGAGAAGTTGCTGAAAAATTACGACTTGCATAAGAGGCCGAAAGGTCCTATATGTGGATTTTATTTGATAATGAATTTAAATTACAGTCCGTGGTGGGCAACGTAGTGTCGTTCCGTGTTCACGCGCCGTGCAGCGGAGCGTTCCTGTTGGATATCTTCGCAAACGCGGTAACACCTCGCGAATACCTAACTGGGGAACCCATGAAGTTCAAGAGCGTCTGCAAATTTAAGGTACAGTTACACCTGAAGTATGTCCGGCAGTAGACTATGATTCGAATATATAGAAATGACAAATGATGGTAGTAATTTTGTGGAAATTAAAGTATGTCACTGTAATCACAAATGGCTTAAAGGAAAGTGCTATACATCACCTATATAAATAAGCACCACGGACATCACATTATCATGTAATTTCACTGTAAATATATAAAAATTAAATATCTTAATATATAAAAAAATTCCGTTACGTTGTTTGTCTGCGATGGAATCCTAAACTACTTAACTGATTTTCATGAAATTTAAAATATATACTCGGCAGATTTGAGAATAGTTTTCTATCTCCCTAAGTGAGGGTGGCCCACACCAAAATATATTTCTTTATTTTTTTTATTTGTATGAATATCAAATGATTTTTATTTTATTTATTTATGGTTCTATAATAACATGGAAGAATGTAATAAACACACAATTTACAAAAGCAAGCTGCTTCGCAGATGACTTGTACAAAGTCCATGTCAGTTAACGTAATATTTAAATATTTATTGTTCAGATTTGCTGCGCCGAGCTGCAGACCGTGATGGTACCTTTACCGGACTGTGCGAGCGGCGAGTGGGGCCCCACCAAGGCCACTAGACTTTTTGGTCTTGTACCCATAACGCACCAGGTAATCAAAATTGTAAATATGTTATACAACAGAAAAATGGAAGTTTCTTTCTCTTTCTCCTCAGTCTTCTTCTTCGCGGAAAGTCATTGAATAAACAATTCTCTATTCTATTTAATAATATACTAGCTACTCGCCCCGGCTTCGCAAGGGTGTACATGCATTATATGTGTAAACATTCCTCTTGAATTCTATCTACACTCTATCTATTAAAAAAACCGCCTCAAAATCCGTTGCGTAGTTTTAAAGATTTAAGCATACATAGGGACGGACAGACAGCGACAGCGACTTTGTTTTATACTATGTAATGATAAATTATTTCCATGTCTAAGCATGTGTCTTTAAGCCTTATTCTACAGAATTGACGCGTTCAAGTCTGTAGAATAAAGCATAGGGAACTTAAGTTATAATGTTTGTGAAGACTAAATTACTGGAAATATAAATTTCCTACAATGTGACTACATGCAAATGACATTGTTTTTTTCGCTATAAGCAATAACAATAGAAGTTTGATGGCCGATTTCTACTCTACAACAACATTGATGTTTATCGAATGATTGCGGATTCGAACCTAAACACAATTTGTTTAAAAAATGTGGCTCTGCTTAATTTGAAACTAGATTGGAATGGTGTAGTATAATCATTATTAACTTATATTAATAGGAAGCGTTAGTGTTCGCCGGCCGCGAACTGGAGATCCAGTTCCGCATGTCTCGACCGCTGGCCGACTTTATGGCGACGCTGCACAAGAACGGCGTTGATGAGAAGAGGCTTTCCAAGTACGTGCAGCAAAACGTGTCTGATGACATCGTCACCTTTTACATCACTTTCCCAGAAGAAGGTAAGCAGTGTTTGTTTATTATATACTAGCTAAGCCACCTACTTCGTACCCACATAACTTTTTTGTTTGTAAATCGATTGGATCAAAACAAAATTTACTAAATTTTTAGTATTTTAATGTATGTTAGACTTTGTTATCCGCATTTGGACCGTCAATATATTAGTAAAAATAGCACTTTATTTGGTAAAGATGTTTCTAAAATTAACGCGAACAGACGCACATAAAAATTCTAATAACTATTGAGTTGATAAAGTCCCCCAATAATAGATTTTCTCATAAATCTTCCATATACAAACAGCGATAAGCTACATTTTTATTATGTGTATAGACTGGTTTAGATTTCTATGTATATATTTACAAAAATTGAATTTAAGTATTTCTATCAGTTGTCTAGCACCCCTAACACAAGCTCTACTTAGCTAGATTATAATGATGTATATTGTTTCAGGTCAATACGGCCTAGACATATACACTCGTGAGCGCGGCGGGCCTACAGCTATCCACCAAAACGGGTCCACCGAAAAAGAGAAGCACCTTCTCACCCACTGCTGCAAGTACCTCATCAACAGCAGCAAAAGGAACTGACATCAATATATAGTATAATAACCGAGAAGATATTATATATTCACGCTTAATAAATTAATTGACACTTGAAATTATTAAAAAAAATTGGAACGTATTCCAAAAAAAAATCTTTTATTTTTTTAAGGATTCACACGTCTTTTTATATTTCTCTTTTTTGGTAGTGTCAGTTATTATTAAGCGTGTGTATTATTGTCAGTAAAGTTCTAAGTGTAGAAGTATAATATAATGTTTAATTACAGATATTACAGAAGAGCAAAATATATAACATAAAAAATCAATATTTGGAAATTATGAAAAAATTAAATGAACATTACCACCATGTTGTGTCCGATTGGTTGAAAGTGCAACATATGTCTTCAACATTAAATATCGATATCTTAAAATTTAAAAAATTTAGAACTAGACTGACATTATGTAGTACTCTGTGCTATTACATAAACATCACAATGTTATTGTAAAATAACTTGTGATAAAGGATGATTTTAGTCTGCAATTAATACTTATAACTTTTCGTCTCACCGTTTAAAATAATACATCAATAGATTACAAATATCTGCGAAGAAGGCATTTATCCGACTCGAACACTATTCATTTGTGAGAAGTCCTGTAATTGGTCGGAGCGCTAATGTCATATTGACAGCTAACAGTTGAAAGGACAAAAACTTATACGCACTGCGAATTTTCCCGCGCAATTGTTCGGCTTCTAAGAAAATGTACGGATTTTAAAAATATAGCGGGAAATTAATCTACTTAGATAAATAGATTTTTTATATAGGTATACATAAATTTGCAGAATAATGCGAAAAAATACACAATTCATATAAATCTTAATTCAGTATTAATATCTTCTATTGGATGTCTTAGTACCTATATGGCCACATAGACTTTGAAATATAATTGTATGTTGGGATAGATTATAAAATGATTCTCTGTGCCTGCCCTTACACAACTATAGTAGTAATCATCCCTCTTTGATTTAGGCTAAGTTATCATTTGGTATTACCAAACTGAAAACATAGCTTTTGATATAGAGCTTGTAACGAGTAACCAGTGTTTGTATGAACTGTACCTATACAACCTAATCTACCATACATTTTGCTGTCACACACAAATTAATAAAATTCAAAAACAATTATTTTTAATTAATTCGCTTATACGTAACATTAAGTAATTTTTAAACGTGTTTCTAAAACATACAGAAATATACCCAAATGTAGATAATTATTATAATTATAGAATAAATAAAATCCGTCCACTTATTATTAAATAAACATTTTATTGTAGATTTTATACTAATTTTTTATACAAGTCTATGTCATTTGTAAATGATAATTATATTCGGATACTGAAAGATCAATTTTATATATTTTTTTATATATCTAAGTATAATAATAAGTACAGGTTGTGCAAAAGCAATCTAATTGCTTTATTTTCTTTTGTTACATTGTATTATAAACAATAAATTATTTAGGTTTTTGAGATTCTAGTGGCAGTTTACAAGACAAAATACTTAACTATTTAATTTTTAAACCCGGACTCTAAATAATACATTGAATTAAAAGTTAAAGCTATTACATAAAAAAAGTTATATTTTTTTAATCAATGCGCACGTGACACTCCTGGGTTTCAGTCTGTTGGCTGCGGTAACCGTTTACCTTCAAATATAGTATAGTATAAAATATATTTTCAACACACTTGCTCGTAAAGTGGATAAAATTTCAAGCAGTTTCGATATTTAAAGTAGTTCATAAAAAACGCGTGCGTTATAAACGCAAATAGTGAAATTATAGTTCATAACCGCACTATTTGCTATTTTTTTTCAATTGTCGAAGTGACCGTCGCGCGGTGCCAGTTAATAGGCAGCGCGCTGATTTTATAAAAGGGAAAGCAATAGTGTGCATCACAGTTTTATGGTGGAGTTTATTTAAAAACATGTGTGTTGAAGACCTCTTACAATATACGTGCGTATTTAACACAAACGGCTCTATTACGCCTCGTGTTATAACCATTACAACGCACTTATATCGTAATAAACTAAAATATCTAAATAGGGTCCGGGCCTATCACGTACAGTGTTCATAGTGTTTACAATCTACGAGTAGTTCAACACTTACGCTTAACTCATAAATCTAGATAAATTGCTATATTTTATTAAAACTTTTTTTTTGTTACACACAATGAAATATAGCAATTTATTATACAGCGTACCGAGAACGAAGTTTGGCTAATGTCTAATTTATAATGTATTTTTATACTTAATAAACACGGCAATATATGTAAATTTTATAAGAATATATGGCATGTTATTTTTCAATAATAACTTTTATTTATACTTATACAGTTCTGATACGGTGAGATTCTTCGAATTTATAAATGATTTGAACATTTTTATCACAAGAGAAAAGATAATTATGCATATACTATTGCAAGCATTGAAGAATACCAAAATGCCATGGCTAAAATCCATGTACCATTAGACAGTATCCAATTTATTTTCGTACTATTCTAATGCTGTTATCCGCAGAAGGTCATAAACCTTCACCGAACGATAGGCGGCGAGTGCAGATGGCACTCCAAACCTGCGGAAGGACTTATGGATGAAGGACCAACTCCATCCTGACGGATGCGACTTTAGTCTGAGGAGACCGTTAGGTATTTGAACCTCGGCTCAAACGTCATAATTTCGATCCCCGTTTGAATTGGACGGGGGATAGATCGGAGGTGATCATGTACTTGACATTTGTATAAAAAAAAATCAGAGCTAATTTATGCCCGTGGAGCAAACAAGTCAAATAGACTTTAATCTCAGATATTCCTTATCATTAAATTATATATTCTATATTCAATTGATCCATTGAGCACCAGTTTCAAATGGACGGCATGTTTAGAACTAACTCTAATTAGAATTTTGCTCATTCTACAAAAACAGACTTTATTACGTTATTTTTAAAGTTCATCTTACAATCCTATATATAGTCAGATCTTTATACGTGTAATTGTATACTTGTATTACTGATCTTTCACTTGTCTCAAAAAGACTAATAATAAAGTAAGAAAATGTGTATTGGTTTCTTTTGTGACATAAGTTTTATTGAGACTAGCTGAAAGTCGTGGCTTTGTTCGCGTAAATCACAAAATAAAAATATTAAGAATACAATATATACTTGACTATAATATGCTGTATATCACATCTCGGAAAAAGGTCAAAAGGTCGTTTAGTTACTGATTGATTAGATATTGTTTGAAAACAGTTGACCGAAATTGGTACTAAATAGTTTAATTTAGCAGAAATTAGAAATATATTACGTTATCTTTTCTAATAAATTCATAATAACTCTAAATTTAAATAGTAATACAATATATATATATTCCATTATTGTCAGATCTAAATCACAAACTTTTATTTTTAAAGCTTTACTATATTTTCAATTTAAAATTATTCCATTGTCATAATTGGGTACTTTCTCTTAATTATTAATATAAGTCATAAAAAATAAAAGTACATAAAAATATTTATAACAATTCCAAAAATTGGGTACTTTCTCTTAGTTACTAATATAAGTAATAAAATAGAAAAATACATACAAATATTTATAAAATTAAATCTACTATTACTACTTTCTTCCCAATTCATTAAAACAAATAAGAAATTATCACCAATTTCATCTTCTACATAAAAAAACACTATGATGATATATAATATACAAACTATAGTTCTATTATATACTAGAAACCAGTTCATTATTATATAACTTGGAGTTTGTACAAATTGGAAATATAAACATTATAATCTGTACTCCACAATATACCTTTTCTTTATTATAATGGCAGTATACCACAGACTGTCTATATACTAATATACTCTGTGACACAAACTTACACATTCATACTAGTCCCTTGGTTGCGTTGAGCGTGGCCCTCTGTTCCACTCCCCGTATTAGAGTACCCAGAAGACCTTCCATCTCGTTGGCCGTCTCGCGCAATTGCGTATTATCAAAACATGAATCTAAAACAAAAGGCAGTTACAGCTTTATAAACATAGTAATACTATTTAGGTGATTGACTTTAATTTCAAATTATCAGCTTTTCACTAAATGCATTTGAAAGTATATGCAGTAAATGCATCAAAAAACAATTTTATAAATTTTTGTCTGTCTGTGTTTGCTTCTTTGATGGTCACTCACTAACTGTGTGTACTGACATTCAAGTCGAGAGACAAACGGTAGGCCAAAAAATTGCTATAAAGGTTCCTCACCCCTGTACTAATTAATACTAACCGTCTACAGCGAAGTTATTGGTGAGTATTTGCTGCAAGCGGTCCAGAACCGTGTCTAGGTCTGCGTTGAGTTCCTTCATCTTGTCGTTACTGGACGCCATGCTGCGTATGTCCGCCGCGTACTTCTGTTCCGTAGCGGACAGCGACTGGTTTGTATCCACTGGCTTCACAGATTGCTGGCTGCGTTTGTCTGTGGCGGGTTCAGTTTCTGTAATACATTAGAATAATAATAAGCCGGGACAACAACGCCATCTAGTTCCGAACTAAGCAGAGCTTGTGTTATGGGTACTAGACAACTGATATAAATACTTAGATATTTCTTTTGTACATACATAATAGACATAGGAAACTCCCAGACCAATACATAGAATCATACTCATATACAAATATTTGAACCATGCGAGGAATCCAACCCGCGACCATCGCAATATGCAAACTGCTTATATTGGTTGTAGTACTCCTAACGCAAGCTCTAGTTAGTTAAGGGTTAGTTGTTTTTAATTGTCAGCTCGTGACCACGGCTAGTGCAATCTAGTTAAAACGTCGAAAGATAAAGATCTCAATTTACCATAAAATTATATATATATATATTATAAATAATATCTTGTGTAATTATTATAAGATTCAGTTGCTTTATAAAATAAATAATTCTTGGACTTGGAATAAAAAAATATGACTATTCAAAAGTGCTTGTATTGAGTTTATCTGAAAGATTATTTCTATTTCTTGTAAGTTCTCAAATCATCAATCTTAATTTATACATACCATTATACCAATTGCTAATATCATTCATAGACACAGTGGATATACTATCTGATGTGGCATGAACGACTACTGGCTTTAGAGCATCTCCGGACATCGTCATCAAATTGTTACTATCCGCTTGTTTGGAGACCACAGAGAAGTTTCCGGAGTCCATGCTCAGGACCCGGGGCTGGTTCTTCAAGTCCACCAGTTTCGACTGCTTCTCTTCTACTGGTATTGGACTGAATAGATCAAAAGCTTGAGGACGCTCGATTTTATCTGGTTTTTTAGCTTCTGGTGGGATGTTTTCTATGTTTGATGATAGATTTTCCTAAAAATAAGTTTAATATCAAAATTTATTCATGTATATTAAGAGAAGTCAAAGCTTATAACCTCATCTAATACAACATAGTTACCATCTGATTAACTATATTAACAATTACCAAAATGTAAACGTTTAAAATTAACTAGTAGTAATACTTACCTTACTACTACTAGTTACTTTCAAACTTTTAATCAATTGATTTCTGAAATTAATTATATTATTAATTAAATTTGGAGAAAATAGTTAAAACAACTGTCTGGATAAATTTGGATACACTATTTATGTGTGTGTATGGTTAATATATCTATTTACAATGTCATATTATGTTAAACTCAAACCTTTAATATCTTCAGCCTGTTAATTTGCATGGATATTTGATGCCAGTGTGCTTCCACTTTATCTTTTAGACTGCTGTCCGGTGTGTCCTTTGACATTGATTGTAATTGTGAGGAAAGGTCTTCTAGCGCCCTAAAATGTGATACAATTAGTTACTGTATCTTCATATTGTAAAACAGAGGCAGGGGGACCTATAGACCTATAGAAAGTTATGTCAACTTGTTTTAAATATATGTGATCAGTGTTGGGACATGAATTTATTGACAATGAAAATTAGTATAGAATGAATGAAGTCGTAATTATATTGACTAATATTAACACAACAAAGTTTTAGTTCTCAGCTTGAGAATTAGCAACTTTCCCACAGTAAGGTATCTATCATCTAATATTTTCATTCATGTAGGCCTATTACAGACTATTGTGATACGTATTATATTGATAAGGCAGTAAAATTACAGGGTACAGAGGCATATGACTTCTCAGTCATCCAGAATAGCAAAGTATCACTCATAATTTTGTCATTTGATAATGTAATGGCCATGGTGCTGTTCAAGTTTATAAGCGACCGTTACCACTTACCATCAGATGGACGATCAACTAGTTTACCATTTAAATTACATGGAAAAAAAATTGCGACTCACTTGTTCTGAGTTTCCAGCTGAGTTATAATATCCTGCAACATACAAGTGGGATTGTTTGCACCATTCCCTGATGCCTTGCCAACAGTGGACGTAAATATAGTAGGTTTACCGTCACGCTTTATTCGTACCGTACTATCAGCTTTATCCAGCTTTTTAGGATTCTTCTTTGAAATCTTTTTTTTCCTAGTCCTTGTGCAAAAGAAGAATCGCTTCATGCCTTTAATAAAACTAAGACACTCTGGTGGTTTTGTCTGAAAGTAAAACGTAATATTAAATAAGGGAATTTTACAACATATGACGGCATAAGAACTTTGTACTCCACCTAATTTCGCTCTCCATTCCGTAACTTAATTCCTCCATTCAGTATCTGGCGTATTTGAGACTATATGAAAATGTAAGAAGTAAGAAATGCAGCTTGCTTTGAAAACAAAAATAGTAGCCTATCATTCATTCTAATACATGTCTTGGTATGTAAGGAAATTAATACAATTAATAAAATACTTACCTCTCCATCAACTATTTCATGCACCAAATGAGTTTTCTTATGTCCACTTACAGTGGACAAGTCCTTATCGTACAAGTAACACTTCTCGCAGAAATACACTTCATTGCACTTGTAGCATTTAAATTTAAGCACCTGAAAGTGTGATTAAAAACCCGGTAAATGAAGATCAAAATAAGATCATCATTTGCGTTATACATACGTTTTACTTAACAGATATACTTCATTTAAATATATATTATATAATTAGTCTATAATGTGAAATACGTCTTCAATTTGTTTAATAGTGTTCTAATACTGCAGAATTTAGCAAAGCATTTTAAGCAACTGTATCGGGCAGTATAAACAGCAGTCAATTTGGAGTTTGATATTCTTTTTCTATAATTATAATATAATTTGTTAAATTAAATTTTATAGGGATTGTATTTAAAAAAAATTATAGCCTTTATTATAAATCTAGTTAACTTTCTAATTTGAAAAAAGTTAAACGGTTACAGTGTGACTAGTGCTTATATATAAATTATTTAAAAAAAAATTATAGGCAATTATTACAAAACATTCTAATTTTAAAAAGTTCAAAGAAAAGGATGTGACTTTATTTCTAAATTATCACACCTGTATAAGTGGTTGCAAGCACGCAGCGCACGCAGCGGTAACATTAGCGCTGTTTCTGCTGCAGACAACCCGTTGTACGGCCGGTAGCCATCGCGCGCTTGTACAATTCGCTACGCCCCATTCAGCCACTGTGCGTGTACTCACGCCAAGCATACCGGCGCTCTGAAATAATATTTAGTATTATCCACTTATTTTTGTTTTTTATATTTTTATATATTATTTTATAAATTTTAAATTATACATCACCTGATTACCTTACACATAAAAAGAATAAATAACTGTAGCATTGACTACAGACGATTTTATGTTTAAAATGAAAAGAATAAAGCCAGTTTAAAATATATTGTATAAATTTAACAATTTCTATGGAATAAATAGTTAGATGTGCATTAATGAAGAAACAAATCAATAAAATTTAAGTCAATCAGACTGTTTTAGAGTTTCAGAGAGACTAATGGATAGCAATTCATAATAACAGATATTAACTCCGCTGGCAAACATTTTTTTAAATTAATATAGCTATAAAAAAATAGGAATTACTTAATGGTAGAAAGGTGAAAATTTAGAGTTGTATTTTTTAATCATAAAAAAAATATGTCAAGAAATAGATTTTTTTTAATTACACCCTAATTATTTAGGTGTATAAAAACTAGATAACAACTCTTAGAACTAACAAGTATACGTATAAAATCATTTAAATGAAATTTGAAAGATTTTTTTTTATATATATAAGGTTCAGTACTTTAGGATTTCATAGAATACAAACTGACTTAAGTTTTACATTTTATATTAAGATATAAATTAATACCTTGTCAAAGCAAGCATCAACATCAGCCTGCACCTGGTCACAAGGTACGCCAAGATACTCTGGCAACGCTGTCATATGAGCCAGGAGTGCTGCCAGCCGTCGTGGCGACACACATCCATTGTGATCGGCGCAACAATTAGCAAGCGCCGCCCATTTCTCTGTAGCTGACTCTGTACTGAGTATAATCAGTAGTGTCTTTGCTGATAGCACTCTAACTGGCTCCTTTCTATCTCTATAATACATTTGTATTTTATTTAAAAACACAATTGTATTGTTTACTAAGGTAGACTATGTAATAAGTAAGCATGGGGGGGAATGGAATTGTTAGTAATGTGGACTGATGGCCCCATTGCTAGCAATGTACCATGTCAGGCTGACCACCAGGTGGTTCCACCTGGAAACCATTGTGATAAATTCCAGGTGAATTTGCTACTAAGGACTACCTAACCAGACTTTATGCTCATCTTATCATCCTCCACTGGTGCCCGGACAGAATAAACTGTTAGCATTAGGCAGGACCACCATACACACTACAACTGGCTTAGTGACCTATTTCAGTTGAAGAATGAAATTTGAAATTACTGGATATTGAGATATATTACAGTAAGATCCTGCTTAGGCTATCTTTCTTTCTTTTCTTCAGAATCACTACTATCAATATTTTTGTTTTCTACTTGCACAGTTAATTCCTTAAGCTCATTATTAGAAAGACTAGCTGCTGGCCCTTAAACTATTTCCTCAACATCTTTCCATTATGACAGATAACAGTGTTATGCAGAGTCTTGCTGTACATAAGGAATGCAGGATATACAGCTAATATATAATATTTATCACTTTTTTTAACTTACCTATCGTAAACATTAAGCAACAAATTGATCAACAAGTCAACAACTAAGTCCACATCGCCACTGAAGAGGCCCTCCTTCTCCGCTGCAAAATATATGTCTGCTAAAACTGCTTCCAACTCAGCTGTGTCCAAAGACAGGCTGCTTTCCGAAAGGCTGAGTTGATGTCGTGCAAATACTCCAGAGCTTATGCGCAGTGGAGGTACTAGAGGAAAATAACAATACAGAAAAATGGGAAAATAAAAATATAGAAGAGACAACTCCCAACACAACAATAATGAAGCAATACTTGTATATGAATGTAAATAAATTTACTAAATAAAGTTCCACATAAAGATTTAATAAAAAAATTTTAACAAACATAAATTCTATAATTTTGTATAATGTTGATACTACAAGATCAGTCCTACATTATTATTCTGGTATTCTCACAACAAAATTCATTATGGTATTGATGTCAATATGTATACCTTAACTAATATATGTATACACAGTATATTACATTTATTAGCCTTACAGTAGAGTAAGTAAACAGAAACAACAAAATAGACTCCATAGTTGTTTTTCTTGAAATATATTTATATAGGAGTTTAGTAGAGTGACATAGATGGATTTGATTATCATATTACAAAAAGCCCAATTCTTACATATCAATAACATCAACATTATCAGAAAAAGTTTCTACAATTTCAATGACATTTTTAAAGTTTTACTTTTGAAGTTTGAGAATGCCTTACCTAATAAATGCTTTTGCAAAGAAAATATTTTAAATGCAATTTTGTATGCACTGTACTTAATATCGTCATATTCTTTAAGAGCCTCCATTATTTTCTGGAATTCGGGATGATCATACTGCTGACTTCCACTGGTCTCGCTGCAATATAGAAGTACGACTCTAAATTATTTTCATAAGTTTTACAATACGAAAAGTAGGTTAAAGCTTCGTGAAAGTGTACTTACTCAACGTAACACGGGTAACCTCCCTCATTTTCAATCTTTTTCCATGTAATGTTGGACATTTTGTTTTGATTTTCAAATCATTTGAAATGAAAATGATTATTTATTATTTTCAACTTTTAAATATTAAAAAAAACTACCAATCCGTCCTTGGATCTGTAAAGCACAGATATACGATCACCACAGACCGACTATAGATTTTTTAACACAGCATACATTATTTTAGTAATATTCTAGTGGAATTATTGAAAATGTATTACAACAAACACACTAAAGATGGTTATTTTTAAAATCACGAAGTATATTTAAAACAAAAGAAATATTTCTACAATTTCTACAAAGTTGATTTATAAACTTAAAATAAAAAAAAGTACAAAATGCAGCAATACTTCTATGGAATTAGGGGGGAGCGCGGGAACAACGACTACACGATGATATTAAGACTTAAACACGAATGAAAACATAATAAATAAACATACAAAAGAATTGGCCTTTGGCCTCATCACTTGTTCAAATATGAAGAAGCTTAAATGTAGACTAGGCTGTACGGTCTAAGGATCTTTGCCTGTTCCATCACTGAAAAGGAGATGGACGAATATGGAAAAAAAAAAAAAAACTTCTATGGAATTATTTTTGTCTGAAATATTTTGACAGCACATCTGGAAATATATTTCTTTTTGCTTGAAATGGAACGCTTAAGAAATTCATAAACATGTTTTCATCGCCTGGCAAGAAAATATTAAAAATATTAACCAATCACTGTCCTGTCTATGATGCCACAACGACATTTGATCCAATGACAGCATCTTGAGCCTGTTTAATGTTTACTACCATTTTCTCTTTGTAAAGGAGACGCCATTTTGCAAGCGTCATTTGGCGGCGTGTCGGGTTTCGGCATTTTAAACCGAAATACCTAGAACCAAATATTATTATTGTTTTGTTTTTGTGTAATATGTCGTATCAGTCCAGTGTAGCGCAGGATACATTAGCTGCGGCACAATTGGAAATGGCCGGTAACCCCAATGCATTGGCCCTGCGTCGGCCATTTGATCCAGTGGCGCACGACTTGGAAGCCAGTTTTCGTTTAACGCGATTTGCGGATTTAAAAGGCAGAAGCTGTAAAGTACCTCAAGATGTTTTGGGGAAATTGGTGGAATCTCTGCAGCAAGACTACTCACAACAGGAGCAGGATCAATTTATGCATGTGGCGATACCACGCATCGGCATTGGTTTGGATTGCTCGGTGACGCCACTACGACACGGGGGACTTTGTTTGGTGCAAACGACTGACTTTTTCTATCCGCTAGTGGATGATCCCTACATGATGGGAAAAATTGCGTGTGCTAACGTTCTCAGCGATCTGTACGCCATGGGTGTGACTGAATGTGACAATATGTTAATGCTTTTGGGAGTCTCAACCAAGATGACTGAAAAGGAACGTGATGTAGTTATTCCCCTTATCATGCGAGGATTCAAGGATTCTGCGCTAGAAGCCGGTACGTCTGTTACTGGTGGCCAAACAGTCATCAACCCCTGGTGTACTATTGGGGGGGTTGCTACCACAATTTGTCAACCAAATGAGTACATTGTACCAGACAATGCTGTGATGGGCGATGTGCTGGTGCTAACAAAACCCCTAGGCACCCAGGTAGCTGTTAATGCCCATCAATGGCTTGACCAGCCTGAGCGTTGGAATAGAATTAAATTGGTGGTATCTGAAGAGGATGTCCGTAAAGCTTACCACCGCGCTATGGACTCAATGAGCAGACTGAATCGTATTGCAGCTCGTCTTATGCATAAATATAATGCTCATGGGTCTACAGATGTTACTGGATTTGGCTTGCTTGGCCATGCACAAAACTTAGCATCACATCAAAAGAATGAAGTATCATTTGTGATACACAACTTGCCAGTGATAGCCAAGATGGCAGCTGTGGCGAAAGCTTGTGGCAACATGTTCCAGTTGCTTCAAGGTCACGCCCCCGAGACGTCAGGTGGCCTTCTCATCTGTTTGCCACGTGAACAGGCCGCAGCATACTGTAAAGACATTGAGAAGCAGGAGGGTTACCAGGCCTGGATTATTGGTATTGTAGAAAAAGGCAACCGTACTGCCCGTATCATTGACAAGCCCCGAGTTATTGAAGTGCCAGCTAAAGATTAAATAATTTGAACATCATCGATGATTGAGACATTTTGAAGTTGAAATTTTTTACAATTTAAGTTTGACTTCTCACTAGCTTCACTAATAGTGAAGTTTTATTTTAAACAATTTATTATCTATAATTTAAGGGTTCTCTGTTTTCTTATATGTATGAAGTTCTTTCTTTCTAGCTAAATGCTATTTTTTTTGTATCATAATGAACAGCCAGTATGTTCTGGTGATAGATATAAGAAAGCTTTTAGAGAACTTGATCTAGTGACTTCGGTGTTTATATGTATAAGGCGATATTATGAATAAGAGAATGATTCCATTAGGTATGACATAACCTAGCATTTGTTTGCAGCTTTATAACATTTCCTGCAAATTGTGAGAATAAAAATAATTATTAGAATAAAGTTATTTTTCAGTCATATTGTAGTTTTATTTGAATTTCCAAATATATCCCCAATTCCCCACACACTTAGATCATCTTAATAACAGATAAGGTACACTTATTAGAAGAAACTCCTCTCTTTCTCTCTTTATATTATTAGTATAAATAATAATATCAATAACCCTGTAAAATTCGCACTGCGCCATTTAGTCCCTCGCTAAATAGAGCATGGGTACTAAACGACTGATAGATATGCTTAAATATTTTTTTAAATACGTAATACATGTAGAATGTATAAAACACCTAACCTAATATAACCACAAATATTTGTAGCGTTCGGGGAATCAAACCAGCGACTATCGGATTAAATGGCTGTACTAAAGCGTTAATGAGACCATCAAATAGATAAAGAGGGATATAATAGGCTGATTTTATATAATTGAGATGAACAACTACAATTCTTATATGATAAAAAAATGTATGCAGTATACATGTGATGATGCAGCTATTGTAGACATCTGTTAAAATTATCTATTTTTTATTTTGTGATATAAGCATTATTACTGATTCTGAAAGGATGAAGTTATTTGACTGGCATTTTTTATGTAGGTATATTATGTCCCTAACCTTTTTTAAAGTGTAATTTTTTTCAGAATCTCAGCAGATATAGGGTGGATTTACACCCACAAAAAAGTACTCTGTCTCGAGGCGACTTGGCAAACCCAAGCCATAGAATCGTGTTAATTTTCTACCAGAACTGACGACGATGCCCAAACCAGTAGTAGTAGTAGTAACCAGTAGATGTACGAGCATTTTCTCCGATTAGAATAGTATCCTATTAAATTCTGTAGTCCCAAGTGGCATGAACACACGCGCAGCACGTTGTCGTTAGGAGTGAAACCTCTTTCGGATGGGGATTGTTAGTAATGTGGACTAACCAACAATGTACTATGTCAAGTTGACCTCCACGCGATATCCTCTGGAAACCATGGTAAATTGCTATTAGTCATGATAGGCTAACTGACCCAGACCATTCAAACATGACATGAATGATAAATTGTATTGTTAGCCATCGTGGTAAATTACCATTAGCTAAGATGGGCTAACTGACCTGACTTCATGCCCATGAATGATACATCATTTTGTTGTACTAAGATTTTTAAATTTTATCGTCTAAGGTAGTCTTTAGAGTAAAAGCTTATGTATGTATATACAATATAATATTTATTCATGTTCTGAAATTAATTAAAAGCTTATATAAAATATAGTGGATAAAAGAAAAGCTACCAAAGTACTGACTAAATGGATGAGTAATAAATCTAAAAAGACATGCATAACTATACCTATGTATGTATAAATCATAATAATATATTATTGCTTTGTAGTATATCTCGTAAACTTTCCATATTTCAAATCTATCAATACTGTAGCACTACTTGTAGACTACCTTTTATTTCGAAAAATATATGCACATATTTATTTATATATTTTTTTTATAAATATAATCTATTATGCTGGCATACAATGACGAATGCGCGAGTCAAAGTGCAAAATTATCTAAATTTAAAAATGTAGATAGACACGTGTATATTGCAGTGTAACAACAATAGTGTAATATAACTGGGATTCATATTTTTAAAAAGCTATATGTAGTTACTATACCATATACTCAACCAACAAGATGTAACCAACAACACAATCTACTCTATTACTAAATTAATTAAAAGACGCTTCTCATAAATCTATTTAAGAGGATTCTATTTTTAACTCTCGTAAATCTATTTGGAGGAATGTTTGCCTTACTATTCTTAACTTTTCTTAACAACTTTTCAAAATGGCGTCACAGTGCTCTAAATTACAGAACACTCAGTCTTAACATTTTATTTAATAATAAATAGTAATAAATAATAAAAGGTAATAAAATATAAACCAAATATATAAAACATAAAGTGACCAATTTTATTCTGAAGTATTTTCTTTTTACTACACTAGTGCTATTGTATTAAAAAATGAAGATATTATCTTCCTGAAATTATTTTTTTATTACGCAGCATAATGTTCAGGATCTCATGAGAAGCGTCCTCATAAATAATGTCATGTCAAGTATTCCACCAAATGAGACAATCCTTCAGGATAAGCCTGTTGAGTGGCGATTGTGTAAGCACTTAAATTACTGAACACATTCTTAATTTATGGGTAAAAAATATGTATTATAATATCTTTATACCATCAGGTGCTTTTGTGACAGATTCATAATTGTAAAATTATACCTCCGTTTTTATATGTACATTAATAGGTGTGATGGTAAGGTCATAACAATCTGAAATCCAGTAATGGTATTTATGAAACTCCATTTTCTCAAAGGAATAGTTCGCTATATATGACAGCCTCATCAGTCAATGCACAACTGTTTGAAGTAACATTATTTCAAATTTTCATATAAGGCTCCATGTAAAGGAAACCAATATAAAATAATGTATGAAAAAAATCATTTACTTTTCAAAATTAATTTTCACATTTGAATTTCAACCTATATTCCTTGGAGAAAAGTATGTATATAATCAGTGGATTCTGATTTGAATACCCTATCCCTTACATCCTAAATCATACACTTATTAAACACTTAAAAATAACTTGGAATGGATAAAAATAATATTTTATTTAACACACTGTAATGTAACATACAGTTACCGATTACATTATTCTTGGATCAAGAGATTTATAAAATATTTAACAGATCAAGCCTTAAAAAATGGCACTTCCCAAAAGACGTGGAACCAGTGTGTCTCGAGAATTAATGTCCAATTTGAACTAAAAATGTTGAATGCAATCATTAATACAAAAACACCATACACATAATGGAGTCTATAACTGAAGCACAAACTAACTGATGATGCTTGACAGTGATTTCAGTTTAATGGGGAGTTGAGACAGGGCCTCTTGCGTGGTCGGTTGTCATCACCATTTTGTTCAATATGCGTTTGGTCACGTTTCTTTGGTGAATTATTGTTCTGTAATATGAATTATTATCCCCATTAATATAAAAACATGTCAGTCAGTAGTCTCTATGTTCAATGCCTATAATTAACTTAATCCAATCACAATATACCTAAATACACACAAAGTATATATGTATATATATATTTGTGTGTATTTAGGTATATATATAATATATAATCTAAATCTATAGGCCATTCTTAAGTGAGGAAAAATAGATTTGGAACATATTAAAAGAAACAACCATCAACTTTAATCTAATTAGATTGAGACAATGTTAAAAGTGAATATGTTTATTTCTACTCTTCTTTTTGCACTGTTTTTTTTTTTATAAATAGAATTTTAAAGAAAGTTCAATTTCATCGTTTGAAATATAAGAAAAATGTTATTGGTACATGAAGTTTCAAATTTTATTTTAAAATTAAAAATACAATTTTGCTAAAATTATTACAAAGTTTTTATTAACACAAAATAACTTGTTGTAACAATATGCAATATATTTTATTAAAATAAAGAAGTAAATAAAATTACCTTTTTCTCCCATTGTTGATGAAGATATCTTAACAATATATTTGTTTTCTCTGTTACAATAACTGGAACAAATAATTACAATTTACTTTTATTAACATAAACAACTGCGAGGTTATAATAATTATAATATTTATTAACGTGAAATCAACATTAACTGGACTTATGAAACATAAATAAAAGTTCCAGATTATTCTAATGAAGTGGTTATATAGAACATAATGTACTTTATATATGATACAGATATTATTGTAACTGATCAAGCAAAAGGTAGTTTAAGCCTGTTGCTTGATCAATTAAAATTAAAAGTGACATAAAAACATATACTCAACTTTGTTCAGAAGGTATGTCCTTAGTAGGTAGATATATCGAAGGCCGTTTAGAACAATTTCTTATGCCGTGATCCGTGTTAAACAATGTAAAATTATGTTCGTCATACGACGGTAAATCTTTCAGAAACTCTATCACCGACTGTGGAATGAAAATAAAAATATTGAAACGTTTCCAAAGACCAAGCATGGTGCGTCAAACTCAAAATTTCAATAAAAAACTAACTGTACTATTTATACTTGCCATTGTAGTTGTATAGTGATATGATTAGGATACGTGTTCAAGCTTTTAATTATCTTAAATAAATATTAAAGACAAAATAATCCAAAAATAAAATTTCTTGGATAGAATATAAGTACAACCAGCGAATACGAATTAGATTGACTGACTGATAAAAAAACACTTTTGCATTGACTGACACTGACTGACTGCAGAATTAATGTTACCAATAATTAAATTAAATACTGAGTATTATCATAGCAATAAAAAAAAAATAGAAGTTAGGAAGTACCCTCCCTCAAATTGTTTTGATTGTGGAACTGATGAAACTTTATTGTCTGTCCCCGATAATCTGTGCTGTTTTATGTATTATCGATTAAATGGCAATTAGTTCAAGAATTTCAACTGAAATATTATACAATAGTATTTAACATTACCTTATCTATGATAATTGTAACCTCTATAGCTTTGTACCTTTGTCTCAAACATTGTAGATAAAATATAGCTGATGTAGGGAAATTTAAATACCGAATAAATTTCTAAAGTTTAAAAAGTATACGTTAGTTACCTACTAACCTAGATATTTCTCCATTCTATTATTTATTTCCCAATTAAAAGGCAAAAATTATTTGTTCAGTGACTCCAATAAAATTATTTATTTGTGATTTAAATATGTATGGGATACTGAACTCAAACTTTAATCGAACTTATAATCCAAGTGGAAAACATAAAGCCATATCGGACATAAAGAGACTACTGTCGTCTCGTGATACTGTGGCGCAAAGTAAAGCTTGTGGCTATCTCAATGAAGTAATAAGCCGATACAACAAGAATTCAATTGAGCGAAATCGTATGGTGGAGTATCTTTTAGAAAATGATATTACGGTTTTTCTATGTGAAGCTACATCTAATTTGGATTTTTCGCTTTTTCGGTATGTATTTCAATTATATATTTTTTTGTTCCGCAGTCTAATCGATTCGCTAAATTGTGAGAAATACGTTCCTTGTTATGCGGTTAATTTCTGACTAGCTAACTGGTATATCAATGCACAGCCTAAACGACTGGTTTAGTCATTTTAAAATTTTGGATATACGTTCGGTTTATGATGTAGACATTCATTAATAATAGATTTCTGAAATGCTATATTTGAGGGCAAAGTTGCGATAATTTTTATTTTTAATGGATAAATAATAGTGCAACTTGCACGAGGCATCAGTAGATTATAATATCTTATGATATATAGCATGAAGTCTGGTCAGTAAACCCATTGTGTGAACAGTAGGTACCATGATGGTGTCCAGAGGAATTGAGTGGGTCCACATGACATGGTACCTTATTAGCAATGGGGCCACTATACCTCATTTCTAACTATCCCTTGTGTTGTAGTTTTATTTTATATATATATAGGTAAAAGGAAAATACAGGAAAAGACTTGGAATACGGAGATATATATTAAGAACGATTGTCAAGACATTGAAGTATAAACAAGAATGTACAATAAAAAGAACTATACAAATGAAACAACAATAATAGATCAATATAATAATAAAGATTCTGAAGTCAATTCCAAATCTCAAAATGCAGTTTCTAATGCTCTTAACAATAATATTACACAAAACACTGAAATCACTCGAACACCTATTGCTCGCACTAGGTATCAGCCATCAGATGCAGCACCATATATAATTCATGTCCAGAGGGAATTCTCAGATGATAACAGCAACACAACATTGCATCCCGTCACATTTGGTCGCTTTCTGAAACGTAAAGAAATTAATGGTATTGTGAATGGTAGTCTTAAACGAATTGGTCGTAATAGAATTAGTTTGTCTTTCTCAAATTTCACAGCAGCAAATTCATTCTTATGCAATCAAAGTTTAACAACTGAAAAATACAAAGCTTTTATTCCTACTTTTAACATTACACGTATGGGTATAATAAGGGGTGTCCCCACTGATTGGTCTGATGAAGACATTTTACAAAATATAAGTGTCCCAATAGGTTGCGGTACAAGACTTAAATTGAGACGGCTTAAAAGGAAAGTTACTATCGATAATACAAATACATTTGAAAATATAGGCACTGTTGTTCTTACTTTTGATGGACAAGTACTGCCAACCCGAGTTTATATGCATTACCTGTAACCCTTTATATATATCCCACAGTACAATGTTACAACTGTTGTAGGTATGGCCATGTTAAAAGCCAATGTAGGGCCACTCCAAGGTGTTTTAAATGTGGACAGGGACATTCAGGGAGAATTGCAATATTGATGAAAATGACTATTGGTGCTGCTTGTGCAAGGGTTCTCACCAAGCAAATAGTAAAAAATGTTTAGAATTTGACCGGCAAAAAGCAATTAAAGAGACTATGAGTAAGAGTTGTATTTCATATATGGAAGCCGTCAAATTACATCCACCAGTTAATAAAATGTCTTATGCAGATGCTTTACTTACAGCTCCTTCCTCCCCATCTAATATAAATAATGACAAATCTCCAAACTATACTACATTAAATACAGTTCCTGTAAATAACCAAAATAGGTCATATAAAAAGACAGTGTTTCTGAAACCAAAAGCCCTACCAAAATTCTCAAGAGGATATGATCAATATGCACACAATGAGATCATAAAATGAATCCCACACTCCCTCCATCTCAACCCATTTTTAATAATAATAATCATGATAAAAATATTCAGATTTCAGCAATTATAAAAACATTATTAGACCTTTTACAACAATCGAATTCAAATATATCACCGTCCAACGTAGCTTTACTTATTGATACTATATATAAGATCACAGATAATGGATCAAGCTCAGGCCATACAGTGGAACTGCCGGAGCCTCATCAATAAAAAATCATGATGTTATACACATCATTAATAAATATGATCCCTTCATAATTTGTTTACAAGAAACTTGGTTAAAACCGGATCTATTTTTAAGATCCCAGGTTATTCCTGTTTAAGTGATGACAGACCTGATGGATATGGAGGAGTTGCCATACTCAAAAGGAATTCTTTCATCCTATAATATTCTTCCTTTGCCTTCACACATGATGATATCTCTGTTATTGCTATTATAGTGAATAGTATTTGTTATGTGTCTATATATATTCTCCCCCTCCCAAGTAATGCCATTTTCAATGAAGTCAATAATTTATATATCCTACCAAAACCATTTATATATTAGGAGATTTTAACTCTCACCATCAGACTTGGGGTTCCTCTTCATCCAATAGTTATGGTGACCAATTATAAGTTAATTGACTCATAACTTATGTATTTTAAATACTGGTATGCCAACACGTATCACAAGACCCACTGAAGGTCTCAGCTCACCAGACTTATCTATATGTTCACCTGATCTCGCTTCATCTCTTGTTTGGTGTCCGCTAAACTATAGTTATAATAGTGATCATTATCCATTATTAATTACTTTTCCTTTTTCAAAACCCTTGCAGCAGATGAAACAGCCCCTCGTCTGAAATATAAATTAAGTAATGCCAACTGGTACAACTACAAACAGAAAGTACATGAAAAATTATCAACTTTACCCAAAATATCCCATGACAATGTGTCAGATGTTCTCTGTCATTAGCTAAATTATTAATTGAGGCAGCTGATTCAACATTTCCAACCAAAAATAGTGGTCCTAGTACAATACCCTCTCCACCTTGGTGGGATGAAGTGTGTACTATTGCAGTAAAACAAAGGAAAATAGCTGAAAGACAGTACTGTGTCTGTATGTCTGAAGATAACTATAAAAATTATCAAGAAATATCTTATAATACTAAAAACTTATTAAAACAAAAAAAGATTGAAGGTTGGAGTAAATTTTGTACCTCATTATGTCCTAATGTCAATCCATCTATTATCTGGCAAAATATAAAAGATTTAGATCGGCCTATATGTATCTCAACAACACAAGATTTCTCCCACTCTTGCAGAACAAATATTAGATAGATTAGCCCCACCTTTCGTTCCAGAACAGCTCCATGTAAATCCTTTAACTATTAATACAGAAATAGTTAATAATAATGATTCTACATTTGATCTCAATTCATCCTTCACTGTCAATGAATTAAAAGGTGTACTTTCTGTTATTAAAGACTCGGCGCCTGGTGAAGACGGCATTCCATACTCTTTTATAGTACATTTAGACGAAGAAGCTCTTAATTATTATCTCTCTTTAATCAACACAGCTATGACATCAGGTAATATTCCCAGTTCTTGGAGAACACAAACTTTAATCTTGTTATTAAAGCCAGATAAACCAAGTTCCGAACCTTCATCATATCGTCCCATAGCTCTATCTACTGTATTGGCGAAAATATCGGAACATTTAATAAAAAATCGGCTCGAATGGTTTTTGGAACACAATGGATTATTCTCAGATAGTCAACTAGGATTTAGGAAAGGTAAGAGCACTTTTGACAGTTTGGGGATTTTTGTCACAGATATTAGATTAGCGTTTTCTAGAAATGACTTTTAATAGCTGGTTTTCTAGACATAACCGCAGCTTATGATAATGTTAATATCCTGATACTGAAACATAAATTAGAGATGTTGAATGTACCTATTTATTTAATGAATTTTATTATAAATATGTTAACAGAAAGATTTATTAAATATCCTTTAGATAATAATGATTGTATATATAGGACGGTATGGAAAGGTCTACCTCAGGGTTCCGTAATGAGTCCAATTTTATTTAATATATATACTATTGATTTAAAGTATCCATAAATAAATGTGTAAAAGTTCTGCAATATGCGGACGATTTGCTTTTCTATGTTGCCGGCCGATTAATTAACGAGATTAGCGATTCCCTTTCTGCAGCATTAAAATTTCTTAAAAAATGGCTAGATAATAATGGTCTAGATCTATCCCCATCTAAAAGCACTGTAGTTGTATACTCTAGAAAAAGGATTCCATTAGTAGTTAATGTTTTATATGATGATTCCCCCATCAGTTAAAATCAGAGATTAAAGTTTTTAGGACTTGTATTGACTCAAAACTCACAGGTTTATCACATTGTGAATCCGTTGTAGTGAGATGTGAACGCAACCTAAATATTTTAAGGTGTCTTAGTGGTGTATGGTGGGGCGCCCATCCTTCTATTATGAAACTCCTATATAATGCCTTAATTAGAAGCATTATAGACTATGGAACTTTTTTATTAAATCCAGCAAACGTTTTTGCAGCTTTTAAAAAATTGGATTGTATTCAATATAAGGCAATACGACTTATCACTGGATCAATGAAATCCAGCCCAATAAATTCGTTACAAATAGAGAAATTGTGAACCACCGCTAAAACTGCGAAGACAATATCCTGAGTGATACATTTTTTTCCGTAGCCTAGCATTAAAAAATCTCTTAATTTCTAGAGTCAAAATTGGCTGAGGTGATAGCCTCTTCGAAGTATTGGACTCATAAAAAACCTTGTTTAGTGAAAAGTTTCCAAAAATTTAAAGACATTACATCTCCAACATATCAGACTCAATATCTTCCCCTGTACCAACATAGTTACATCGCTAATACTTAATCCCCAAATATTATATAATATAGGTATAAATAAAGATGAAATTAACGCCAATGACAAATTTAACTACATTATGGATAACAATGGAAAGATTGGCACTACATTTTTACGGACGCCTCGAAACATTCTAACGGCGAATGTGTAGGTGTTGGAGTCTACCATTCACAATACAAAATTCATCAAAAAATTACGCTTCCGCCAGAGACATCCGTCTATACTGGAGAATGCTACGGACTTTTAAGGCGATTGAATATGTACATATAATGCTAAACTATGTAAAACAATAATATTCTCCGATTCACTTAGTAGTTTGCAGGCTTTATCACATTTTCCCTTTAAATCCCACAAACAATCTCCGATAATTTTTAAAATTCGTGATCTACTTTCTCAATGCTTATCATTACAATTAAATGTTCACTTCGCTTGGATACCAAGCCATCTTGGTATATCTGGTAATAAAAAAGCTGATCAACTGGCTAATGATGCTGTTCGCGATGGCGATTTATTCCCATATGTCAATTACTGTAATGACCTAGCTTTGTTGTCAAAAATATACTTGTATGAGGATTGGAATCGGCTTTGGACAATTGAAACTCACAAGGGGAAGAATTACAGACTAGTACAAGAAACTATTCCTTATAAACCTTGGTTTAGTAAATTTAAATTTAATAAAAAAACCACATCAATTATTTGCAGACTTCGATTGGGACATGTATGTACACCAGCAAATCTATACAAATTTAATATTGTTTCTGAATATACATGTGCTTGTGGAGCGTACGGAGATGTTAATCATGTGTTAATTCTCCTGCCCTCTATATGATCGCTCTGAATTTATTTCCCAACTCCTTCTGATCCGTGTCCCACTTCCTACATCTATTAATTGTTTGTTACATAATAGCGATACCAATGTATATAAAATATTAGCCACATTTATTTTATATAATAATATAAAATTGTAAATATATACATATATATATATAATATATATACATTGTAAACATCATAAACCTTGACCAATCCTTTATCCTACAAAATTCCGTTCTATTCCCTATATTTCTGTGTATATTTCCCTAACTTTGTTATTGGCTAAATGCGAAGGCAAAGCCAAAGATGGAGGAGGATATATTAAGAACGAAAAAAAAAAAAAAAAAAAAAAGAACTATAAATTTAGAATAAAAAAGCCAATATATAACACCTTCCCCATCTACCTCCCAAATAAGGAGTAGTAATTACTAGAATTCGACGTTTATTAATATTTAATTTGTCATCAGTTCAGTTTTGTCGTGTTTGCGCTTATTATGGCGGGAACGTCGGTTCTTTGCGGACGAGCATGCAGCTCATGTCTGCACAGCAGTATTGAGAGCTTTAGCACACTATTCTGGCAGTTGCTCCAATGTTGCCATGAACGAATGCCTCCATTTTCTGTGTGATTTACTAAATGGGTAAGTCAGAGTTTTTATATAAGTACCAATATTTAATTAGTTATAAAAAAAGTCTTACATATCGGATGAAAAATCTGTTGCCTTCTTGCCTTTATCTAATATTACAGATAAGAATTAATTACTAATACATATACAAAGCATACGAGTTTGTTTTGTTTGGTTTAATGCGTTAATCTCAGGAACTACTAGGTAGTTAGAAAAGAAAAATATGTTAGTGTTGAATAGCTCATTTATCGACGAAGAGTACATAACACTCCGTTCGTCATCATCATCTCAGCACGCAAGAATGGAAGAACCTCTGAACAAAGGTTTCCCCCAAAGATCATATTGCCATAATCGCCACGCTTAGCATGCGGGTTGGCGATCGCAGTGTGGTGGTAATTACTCAGTAGAACGCTGCTATCCGTCCTCTAGTTTAGGAATCCCTTATTCGTCGTTTATGACAACCACGGGAAAGGATGGGGTGGTGCTATTCTGCTGCTGCGACACCATGCGCACAAAACGCATAACACCAGGTTACAATTATATAATAAAACATGTTACATAAAAAAGAAGTTGCGCTTTTGTCATCAGCACTATTCAAATCTGTTTCTGCCTTTACAGAATTAAAGCGCACGAAACCACATCACCTTTATCCCACCAAAGCGCTTACAGCACTGAACAACTTTTAGCTTGCTTTAATAGTTTAGCATCCCAAGTAAATAATAACTCAAACGCTATTCTGTCCAGCGTTTTGGTTTTACATTCTCTAATATCATATCAACCAGAACATCTTGAAATCCGAAGTGGTATAGCCACTTCATTAGTAGAAGTCTTGGGAAAGTGGCTGTCTTTACTAATAGGAGAGCTCAATCATTCAGCGCTAGTGGGAAGTAATGATTCTGGAATGTTCTATGTTGTCACATGCCAACTTGGATTAGACATTTTAAGGTATTTAACTGAATCTATGACCACACAAAACATTGATTGTACACAATGTCTAAGAATTTTTCTTTTGTTATCTCTATTTTTCACAAGCAGTAAAACAAAATTCTATGTATGCTGTTAAATGACCTATTATGCTATATTATGTGTATTTTTATATATTAAAGTTCATTATATTCCATAATGCTGCTGAATAAATTTCAATATATTTCAAATAACCATAGAGTTTTGTGTGCTTCGCCTGAGTAAATGTCATTATCCAGTGCTTCTACCATTAGACTGCTGTGCGTGTATGGTATGTTCTAAGGCGAGGTAGACTAGGGTTATAATAAAATATTTAAAAATAATCGTTGCATAATGCACAATTTATTGTTGGTATACAGCATTAACTTTTATTAACATAAAGTTGCTAGACTCAGAATTATTATTATCGATATCTAATTATCAGTCAGACTGGGCTCTGACAATTACAATACCTACATACTTATTAAGTATATAATTACTTATATTTTCCTACAGACTACTAAAATATTTACTCGGTACCAGAAATAAAACTGATTTCGTACAGACGATCTTAATTGATGAACAAGAGGAAAATATTCTGAAACAATGCGCTTGCCACATTAAGAGTTCCGTTCGTAACATAATGTTAGAACTTGTTACGTTTACAAAGGTAAATTAAAAAATAGAAATACTCTTTATTTTAATAAACTCAATACAAGCATTTTAGAATAGTCATATTTTTTTACTCTACCATTTCGGAACGGAGACTCATCACAAGAAGAATGAGCAAGAAACTTGTGCGTTGCTCTTTTGAATTAGTGTTAATTTAAATCAATAATTACACAATAACAGGTAAGAGGCATGCGATAATCAATATAGGAACTAAGAATACATTTTTAACAGACCGCAGTAGACTTTGTTAAAAGTGTCAGCGTTTACGTGGGTAATTCTATCTCATACATTTCAGCCACCAGCAGCTTGACTATGTATGTGTTTTGGTTGCGTGAATAGTATCACATCACGTGATAACGTGATATCCGTAGTGCTCAGGCGACCACATGATCGTTTGTATTTTTTATAGCACAGTGGTGAAATGAGCTTGCGGCTTACTGATGGTAAGTGATTGAGCTTGAGCATCTACAACACCAGTGGAAATGCAAGTACGTTGCCGTCATTTGAAGAATCTTTAAGAAGGAATGAGTTCCTTTCTTAAAGATTTCTTTATCGTATCGGTTTGGAAATACCATTGCTGTGAGGTGAATTAGAGGTGAAGAATTCCTCAGAACACTCCTCATGATAATTGCGGTAGAAAACCACAAAACCAAATCTGTCACAAAGATGCATGATTATGTTCAAAAGTCATAAGCTATATGATAAAATTTTACTTATTTTCATATAAAGTATTTTCACAGGAATATGAAAAACACTTAACCACCGATGAATATAGTGTATTTTTAGAGTTTCTGCTCAATTTCTTCTATGATAATACAAAAAGCGACGACATATCAGATTTTTGTGATATTCTTTTCGCTAAAGGATATTTGATTTTGTTACCTCAAGTCCAAATTATAAGGTAGGTTATAAAAGAGCATATAGTTTTATTATATTATTTAGCAAACAATTAAGAAGACTGTACAAAATAGCTTAACGAGTCTATCTTTTTCGTTAACTGCTTGCCTTATAAGCTGTTTTATAGGTTATTGGGTGTAACGGTGTAGTAAAATACCGCCTTTGTCAGTCTCAAAATGGCTAGCAATAAGAAATACTAATTATAATAACTCCAAAGATTACCTCTAGTAAGCAAAACTTAATATCCCTTTTAACAAAAATTTCGCACACTTTTAGCACAGAGGAGTTCAAATGTTTTTAATTATGCATAGAAAGTATATTAAATCAATAAAAAAAACCATTATACACACTACGATGTATTTGACACACGGATATACTTCTTTATTTATTATTAAAATTTGTGGTCAAATTGAGAATAGATTAGTATTGTCTTTAATATAATATTATATTATAGAAAATGTTAAATAAATTATGGTCGAATTTCGACCGTTGGGCTACCACTAGTAATTAAACTATTGCAGAAAGGATACAACGGTTCGGAAACTAAGTACACTTCTATTAGGAGAAATGTTGAAGGTGTTATCTGATAAATATTTAAACATGGACGCCGGAAATGATGACACTTGCTCATCAGTAATACATGTAAGTCGGTACTAATTTATTAAATATAGGTGTACCTAATACTTTTTCAAGGAGGTTGAAACCATATTAAAAAATACACAAATATTACAAATTATTTCGTGTACATGTTCAATTTATGTGGGATTTGTATTGTGTCATGTGTTTAATAAGCACACTGGACGTATGTCGTCGAACATAAAGTATCTTTCATCTATTGAATCATGTTACTTAATCGTCCAAAAGTTAGACTGAAAAAGTCGTTTGCGTGGGTACGTCTGTTTCATTAAGCCGCGAAGTAGCTTGTTTTGAAAGCTATATTTCGGAAGACGAGAGAGACGAGATAAGGTAGAGAAATCATAGGATACGAGACATACCATTAGTGCTCCGGAATGGCAACCCACAAGGAGCACAACAGGTACATGATTTTGCGACTTAGGCGACGGTTATCACATAGCTTGTATTCCATAGCATCTTTACTAATCTCGAATAAGTTTTGTTAACTAAGTTGTTGGGTAAGTTACATAGCGTAAAAACTTCAAATCTTTGAAATCAGACTTTATAACTAAAACATTCGAGTTAATTTCAATTTTTTTTTATATTTTAAGTTAATCCAGCATTATAGTAGGTGAGCAAATATCCTAGAACAATATCAGAACTATTGAGATATTTTTATTGTAGAATAAAAACAGCTTTATAATTAGATCACAATCTTGTTAGCAGTGAATAAGTATTTTATTGTCATATTGTATAGTTCCACGATATTATATAAGGCATCTGCAGTTACGTATACCTAGACACTGTTTTTATACCAACAAGAGATACGTACATAGCCTGAGAAAGGTATAAACAATCTATATATAAATCTATATAATAAAATGTGAATCATTGTTTGTATATGGCAGATAAATAAAAATTACAGAATAAGAGACATGGGATCTTAGTCTCCTGTAATGGCAACACAAGGGTGATATCACGGGTGTCAAATGATTATATGATGACGTGATACCTATAGTCATGTATATAGGCGACGGTTTTTTAAAGGTTGACAAGGTTGTTTTGCCTGCACTAACGGTATACGCTAATGGGGCACCAGCGAAAGATGCTAGCTTTTGTAATGGTTGATCGGATGCACCATCAACCATACTAACGATACACTCTGGTGGAGCACCAGTGAAAGATAGAAGACAAATAGGTTAAGTAAGAATCGTTGATATAAGAGAAAAATTATTTTCTCTTTTTTATTACAGACAGGCTTATTAGAACTACAATACGGAATAGAAAAGCCTCAAGATATCGGCTCGCAGTTACAAAAATCGCAACCTTACAGTCTTCTTATTTACATTTATTTCTATTGTCAATCATCAGAGAAGTACGTCATTATATTAATTCATTCGTTTTTTCTTATCTTAATCTTTCACTAATATAACATTTTTGATTAATTAATTAAATTAGTAGTCGTTCTACTGAAAATCAGCGCTGCTTTCACACGCTGGGGTATTAGCTGAGTGGAGGCCCTTTCGGCTCATAGCGCGATATTAACTTTTATGGTCTTCTTTATTTTTCACTCTGTATTATGCCGTCCTAAGTAAATTATTATTATTATTAAATTAGTGATAGATTGAGTAATTAATTATTTGTTACTTGTCCAAAACAATTGTGTCCAGTAGTTACAGTGTTGGAGTTGATTTATTCTGCTGTGATTTTTATGGTACACTATACTTGAAAATTAGTGATTCATCTGACTCTACATATAAGACTATATAATATAATTTACAAATGTTATCTCTCTCATAAAATCTTGACATACCTAAAATAAACTATGGTAAAGGAACGTATATTCTCCCAATATCTTAGTTAGAATTCAATACAATTAAGTATAAAAATTTTTGAACAGATATTTTTGTTGTGATTCCGTATTCGAAATTGAAATTGAAAAAAAAAACGCTAAGAAAATGTCTTTATAAACTTTTCAAATAAAAGTTACATACTACTAAAACTTAAAAACTACTACTATTAAATTTATGTACAGTTTATGCAGGAATGTGATGAGGACTTATGATTGTCTTACAAAATATCTAACTTTTGCAGCCCCGAAGAGGCGACTGCTCCTCTACTTCCGTTCTTGGTGGAACACATCCTCAGGCTACCACGGACGTTTTCACCACCTGCTTATATTATAAAGGCGCTGTGGCTTGTTTTCGCCGTAATGTTTTCTTTTATTATTTTTAAAATCACTATCCTATTTACTGGAGCTTACTGTAACATTGGAAATAAATATACTTAAAAAACATCTAATAAAAAGAAATAAACATTACGAACTAATAAACGAATTAATGGAAAATGGCTATGTGGTTAATTTATATGTGGTCCAAGTACTAGCGTAATCTCTCGTCAAACTTCTGAAAGATCTTAGCCTGTCTTGAACGGCAATGGGTTCTATATTAGAAAGTGTATCTAAAGTGGCAGAGTTCCTACCAGATTTGACTAGACAGGGAGAGAAACACGAGCAGTGAAGGTGAGCATTGACGTACGTCAGCAAAGAGGCCCCTTAAACCTACACCCAAGTTACAACTCCCGGAAACTGCCCGGAGTTTCCCTCTCTGCCACACGATGGACCCGTCACCCGCACGGTGAATCCATGGAATCAGGAGTTTGATTATTTTTTTGACATAAAAAAATACAAACAGCTCAAAAGCTGTCGTAATGAGCAGCAGAAAAGCCGTTAGTTGATTTCACAGCGTAGCAAATGGTTTCCAAAATAATGTATGTACAAGGGACGACCATTAATCCAAACTAGTCGAATAAATTTGAACATTGTTAAGGTTCTATGGTCAAAGACTATATGTATTCAATACGTGTGTAGGCACAAATACATGGTAGTATGTGTAATGTTTTTTTATTGATTTAATGTAATAGTTATACATAAAGTTTACAAAATATTAGTATTCCGCACTCCTTCTCAACATAAACTATACGTGTGCGAAAAGTTTAAAGGTTTTTACGAAATTTTCCTAAAAATGGGTACAAAGTTTTTGCTTCACGTATTAATATAATGATAATAATAATAACTCTGAACAATCAGTATACAAATACAAATTAAAATACACATAGGATTAATATTGATAAACTGAAACTCGGAACTACTAATGTTCTTAGATGTCATCAATATCCAACGGATCTCTGGACACGCTAGACCAGAGGGTGTACTTGGAGAAGGCTACCAATCGTCTGGTTGCAATGTTACAACCAGAACCCTCAGTATACTATACTCACAACCCAGCGATATTATTATGGACATTCACATCACAACGGATCCCGATTTATGTTCGATTACACGTTGTAAGTACAAACACAATATACATAGAAAACACCCAGACCGATAGAAACAATCATACTCATGAATACAAATGTTTGCACCGTGCGAGGAATCGACCGCTAAGACCGCTAGACTGCCGAGGCCCAATTACTTTGGGATTAGATGGGTTGTCTATGATTTTATATTGACTTAACTATTTGTTAATATCAAATATAATTCATAATTTATTTCTACTATAAGTCTTATGTATGTATTTACGAAATATAAGAATATAATACAACATAACAATATTATTAATCTAAATGTAAAAACCTTAAAATATATAAAATAATAACTAAAATAAAAGGAGTCCCTTTAGGCAAAGTTCCAGCTGCCAGTGGCAGCTGGACCGAGGACCGCATGGAACAAGGGTCTCAACACCGTATTGTTAATAATAAGAATATTCTGTAGTTAATGAGTAATATTTTATATGGGTAATTGGGTACATTAGTATGTTCATTTATATATATGAATATTTATTTATTCATATTTGTAAAATTTTATAATCATCATCATCATCATCACAAATATGCAATATTGGTGACTAATAATAAATTTGACAATGCATAATACCAAGTATTAAAAATACAATAGTAGTAAGTAAGTATTAAAAAAACAAGTTTAATTATATTTACATTCCACCAATGAGTATATCAAGATTTTAATTAAATTTCATTTGAAGTCGCGGATAATTTTAAATTTATTTATATACTTAGTTATCACAATGGCTGCAAATTGAAGATTCATTACCAATTGAACTGACAAATGAACCGACAGTTTGGGAGATACTTCTTAACATACTCACACAATGCAAGAACAAAACTATACTTGGAAACTGTATTGAGACATTGAGATTGTGTTTAGAAGATGGCGATGACGAGGCTCGACAAAAATTCGCATCGCTGGTGTGGTCAATGTTGCCAGATGTGTTATCACGGAAGCTTATAGATTACAACAATGATATGGGTAAATACAATCTATAATAATAATAATCTCAGAACAATTCACACAGCGCCATCTAGACACAAGTTAAGCTAGCTAAAACTTGTGTTATTGGTACTAGACAATTGATACAAATACATAGATGTTTTTTTTTTTGTACATAGGAAACACCCAGACCGATACAAACAATCATACTTATGAATACAAATATTGGTGTCATGCGTGGAATCGAACCCGCGACCATCGGAAGTAAGGCGGTGTGCTAAACGGCTAGACCAACGAGGTCGTCAAAAATAAAGAAGTAGTCTGTCATTTTGGATGTTCTAGGTAATCTCCGATATTATTGAACCTATTTTGAAAAGTCTTTTAGTGTTGGATAGCTCATTTTGTAGTAGAGAAAAATCTTAAAATTCATAGCGCTGACAATATCATCTGTATTCACTAAAAAATAGTGCGTAGCGGTATCTATGTCGATCATCGCATGTCTCTTACTTGGCAAAAGAGCAACACACATCTCAACATATACTCATTCTTATTGTGATGAGTCTGCGTTCCGCATGAATGGTAGAATAAAAAAATACTTGTATTCAAAAGTGCTTGTATTGAGTTAAGATTATTTCTATTTCTATTTAATGAGGAAGGCCATAGGTTATAGAACATCATGCTACGACCAATAACCGAGTTTCAATGAAAAAGGTTGCAAAAACGGAACTATGTGATGGAGACGAAATTCGGTTGGTCAATCTAGAAAATCATTGATAATCTTGATTATTACTACACAGCCACGACTACTTTTTTATATTGCACAATTTACAAAGTAGGCAGAGACAATGGAACACCAAAAACGCACCTATTCCTTAATACCACTTATACTTTCTCTACATTCATCATCGTCATCATCCAGTTTATTTGCCCCTTCTGCAGTAGATTCTTCATCTAATCCATTATTTATCATTTAATTAAATTAAATTTAAAGCAATTGGAATAATTATATTTTTATTACTAAGTATCAAATAAAATTAGAATATATATTCTCATAATATAGTCGATTAACTTTACGCAAATTAATTTCTCTCGTTTTTATTGTTTTATTTTGTAAATTATATAATTTCCAATGGAGATCTTGATGACATACTGGTTAAATACACAAATATACAAAAATAAATAAAGTAATGTGGATTGTCGACCCCACTACTGACAATGTGCCACATCAGGTTAAACTCTACGCGGTTCTCCTTGGAAAACATTCTGATAAATTCCTGGTGAATTTGCCACAAGGGCTTATATGACCTGACTTCATGCTTATCCTATCATCCTCCACTAGTTCACGCCAGCGTAAACCGTTAGTGCATTATCATCCAATAAAAAAAATACACTAGAAAGGTGCCTTAGTGTATTTTTTTTATGGATCCAATGGCTTGATTCCTACACGTATAAAAGATTTGTATTCATGAACATATTGTCCTAAGTCTTACGAATTTAATTTATTAATTAATTTAATGAAATTAACTCAAGTAATTATGTAATTTCATTAGTAACCGTAACATGTATTAATATTCTCTTACGAATATATTGGGTATCAAGCGAGTCACGTGACATCTATAGTGTTTTTTAATGGATGATAATGGAAAGGTGCAATCGCCTGCACTAACAGTTTACGCTGGCGTGGCTTCAGTGGAGAATACTAATAACCTGAGGTCAGGTCAGTTAGCCTATCGTGGCAAATTCACTAAGAATTTATCACGATGGTTTCCAGGGATCAACCTGACACGGTATCTTATTGTGTTACAGATTTGAATATATGTAATTTATTAGACTTAGCGAGTACACTAATACCTTTTGAGGTAGATCAAATGTTGTGCCTCAAAATAGCTGTGCTGCTAACTACTATATTCTCAAAAGTTGATTCCGCTGAAATAGAATGTAGACACCAGTTCGAGTATGTGTGCTTGAAACTCTGCCTATATTTATTGGGATTGTCCAGCAATCAAAACGACAATAGAGGTAAATCTGTAATAATAATAAAACAGCTTACGTGTCCTAAATCTACCACCGAATACATATATCATAATGCAACAGCAGCAATATTAAATACTTGCCGTATCATGTGTAAGTTTTTACAGCAAGATACAGAAAATTTAACAAAAGGCATTTAGAATTACTCAAGTCAATGTGACCTAAATTAATATATAGAATAATTTCGAGAAATAAAAAAGGGAAGAAATAAAAATATTATTATTCTACTCTAAGACAATTCACACAGCGCCATCTAGTTCCAAGCTAAGCAGAGCTTGTATTATGGGTACTAAATAACTGATACTTGTATACATTTCTTTGTGAATAGCTACGTAATATGCATAGAAAAAACCTAAGCAAAGAGTCATAGTTATGAATACAAATGTTTGTATCGCGCGAGAAATCGAACCCGCGACCATCGGAACTAAAAGGTGTGCTAAACCGCTATCCAACGAGACCGTCATATAAATAAATAAAATACAGCATCAAAGCAAGTTGCTTGGCGACTAAAATTAATGAGATAGAGGAGTGAAACAAAATCTTACATTTTATGAATATATACTGTGGTAGTTATTTCATACAGTGCTCCTGACGTACATAAATCGAACTGGCTACCTACCTGCGGTGCTGGCCGCCACCGGTAGTACTGATGACAGAGTAGCCTGTGCCGCTCTCCAGTTACTATCATATCTAGTATACTACTACACCAAGAATAATTATAAGGTAAAATATATTAAATTAAAAAAAAACAAAATTAGTTACATAAGTCACATGCGAGCACATCAACGGCATAACCAGAGTTGAACATAGTCGCCGTGGCCGAAATCGGCCGGGCTTACATCACCATCACCTATTTTACTTGTTTCCTCTATTCGCCACCACTAGTGGCATATTAGGTACTCTACATAGATATTTTATTTACTATTTGAACTATCCATAAAAAAATCATCACATGTCCCCACAATTTGTACGAATCTATGAAAGATAGTATACGCAGATGTAGGTGTACACATAAAAAAATAATTAAAAAAATTGTGAACCTGTCAATCTGGTTGTTCTGGCTAATCTTTGAAACGGCTGGCTCGATTTTGATGAGACTTTTATTCGCAAATAGTTAATGTTCTAAAGAGTAGAGGCTACTTATTTTAGAAATCTTATTTACATTACAGATTAAAATATTTTTTTTTATTATGTTTTACGGCTCTGGATACAAGTCTTTCTGATCATACTCTTAACAAGTACACTAACTCATAAGAAGTTATACAATTATCAGACTAATATACCTACATATAACTGGATACCAGTTGTTTTCAACGTATCCTTAACGAGTACAATAAAATCATAAGAAGCATTATAATTATCATCATATAATATTATAATTTTTCAAGCCGAAATCAGTCCTACAAGTTCAAACGGACCTGATAGTGAAGTCTCTCCGTCAAGACAGCTCCAACGAGCGAGGTGCATCGTTGTTACAATTGGTGTACATAATACTAAACTCTGATATGAGCACACCACTGGTTCTCACATACGAGTATAACGCAATCGTGCCAACGAAAACGCAGCAATGTACCGCACTCAGAGCACTGATGTTTAGAATACAACTGATGTTATGCTGTAGGGTGAGTGATAGAAATATGTTGTTTTCTTGCTCTAATTGCTGTTATCCTTTATCTTACTAATATTATAAACGCGAAAGTTTGTGAGTGTGGATTGATAGATGGATGTTTGTCATAAAATATTTACCACAAATGTATTTAAAAAAACGCATATTTTTTATCATTATATATATTGAATGAAATATGTATTCTGAAAACAGATTAGATCAATCTTATTATCTTATTAAAATTATAAACGTGAAAGTTTGTGAGCATGGTCCATCCATGTTACTCTTTCGCATATAAACTACTGAATGGATTTTAATGAAACTTTACTATAATATGACTGAAACATCACACAATAACACAAAGTATAATTTTCAAGCGGATGAATCCGCACACAAATGTCGATAATTTTTTTTTAATACCTAACTAAATAATTTAAACTATTAGGAATCTGAAACACAATCATCCGCCGGTTGGAAAACATTAAGTTCAATATTCAAACATGCAATCATAAACAAGAATGATCCAAATCTAGTCGCCATTCTCACTTCACAATCTTGGACACACATACTTATCCAGTTTCAACTAACACAGAACATAACAGACGAATTCCTAACATTCACGCAGAACTGGCTTACACTATTAAAAATTACAATAAAGAGAAGCAAAGAAGAGAACAAAAGACAGCTGTGTACGCAGAGTTTAGTAATAAAAACAATAATTTTAATGAAGAAAAAAATAACGGTGAACGATCAGATGAAAGAAAAGAAAGAAAGAATTTTAATGATTGTTGATGAAATTTTGGATGAAAGCGGAATACGATTTACACAAACATAAATAAAATAGATGAATTCATACGTATATCAAAATAGTTCAAAAAAGATGATTGAATAAATTAAGAAACTAATGAAAAAATAGATTAATAAAGAATGAAGTTCCAAGTACAAAAGAACAATTTGCAATAACATTAATTATTTATTTATTATATTTTGTTTAATCTCAATTTTTTACTAAATATAATTTGTCACCTTTTGCTAAAAATGTAGTATTAATCGTTTTATAATAACAAAGTTTTAATAATTATTCTACTATTCTTTGTACTATTACATTTATTTCATTATTAATTGGCTTTCCCTTTTATCGATTGCCCAAAATATTCCGGAACCACTTTCCATACACTTTCCAAAGGACGAGAGAAATTATATTGCATGGGCCTATCTATATGCGCGTGCGCATGCCTAGCATAGAAAATGTATGGAAAGCAAAACAATAGATATTAATTTATTGGTCAATGCACTATCCATCCTCTTTTATATGCGAAGTAAGACTGAAAAGGACATTTTATCTCTTTACTTACTTAATGGTAAGTAGTTTCTGAGATTAGTGTGCATAAACAGACAATAATTCTGAAAACAATTTTTCAGACCTTGATATATTATACAACGTGTACAAATTGTTCTTTTTAGAAATATTGGATGTGTTTCGTTCGATTCATCATACATTTTATATCATAGAAACTTTGTTCTGATAATACGTAAATCTGATATTATAAAAAGGTAAAGTTTGTGAGGAATGAAAGCAGAGCTACAATGAAAATGATGGAGATATTCAGTGGATTACAGATATATAGCAGTAAATATAATTTATTCTCGTTCCGATCAGTTGCACGTTACATATAAATTGTTACTTAGCAACATGATTACTTATTTTAAATGTGATGGATTAGACTTTTTCTTCTAAAATCAATGAGCCTAATAGAAAAATGTTGTATGTGTATAAACAGGGACATGTGACTCAAACGAGGTTGCGCGGGACAGCTAATTATAAATTTAAAAAAAATATCCAAACACATGTTTTTGTCTAATGCCTACATAAATACATTCTATATTGAATCAAAATATCTTTATTTATGTACATCTCTTATGATATATCAAATCTATTGTCAGTTCGGAGTGCTTCCAGGCTAAGAAGAACTGACAAGAATCAGCTCTTAATCTTTTCAAATCAGCTTGTACACTATTACAGAAGTACAGATTCATTTTTAAATTCAATTAAGGAGAATATCGTGATTACAAGTATATATGATTATTGCATTTGTATCAAAAGGAAAACATTTGAAATTAAGTTAATCTTTTTTTTATACTACGATGGTGGCAAATAAGCATACAACCGTTTTGATGGTAAACGGTTACCGTAGACTATGGACGCCTGAAACACCAGGACTGTCACGTACACGTACGGAACTTTATTAGATTTTTTTATTAAATTTCTTTTTACAATGCTAAGTGTTGGAAGGTTGGTAACCCTGATCCCTGGGTATTGGGTATAGAACCCCCCGCTATGCTAGAGCAGCCCGCTGCTCGGTGGGCGCCACTTTCCACCGCGACTCGGCCGCGTCGCCCGCGTACAAGTGAAACAGTGTTGTGACAGTGATGTTGTGTCGACTATAGCAGTGATTTATTGATATGCGGACTTATAAACGCGTTAACATGTACGGTGAGTGTATAATTGAGTTCTTAATTATTTTTATTTTATTAATAATGTAATGATGTTTTCGGATTTTCTTCTTAGTAAATAGAAATTGATATTAAATTGTGATATTTCGTTTTCGTTTTCAAAATTCAGGGATAATAATACATGAATAATAGTAAAATATGTAGGCGATAAAAGAAAATAAGGAGTGAACATGAAGTATCTGTATACTATAATAACTATAATAAATTAATTACACTACAATTAGTTTACAAATAATGTAAACTAAAAATAATCACTTCATCTTCACAAACTTCCATCCCTTATGGGGGGTTATCCTCGGGGGTGAACCCCCGTGGATTATTATTTCAAATAAAAGACAGCCTATATATAGACATAATATAGTTTATCTTCAAGTCTTTTCATTAAGATCCATACAGCTATGTTGACTGAATAATGAATTCGCATTGGTAAAATTAAATAATTAATAAGAAAAAATCTGCACAACGTTTTTAATTATTTTTTCATAAGAACCTTCTCCAACAACAAACTGATAACAACAAAGAATTAGCTATTTCCGTCCCACCACGCTTGATGCCGGTGTCAAAAGGAAATAGGGATTATTTTTTATATATTAAGTAATTAAAGCTAATAAAAAGGTACATAAAGTTGCATTCCAATATCATTGCATGTGAATTCGTTTCCAGAGTAGACAGGAACAAACATCTAATTAAAGAAATAGAATAAGAAACGTACCTATTAAACATAACTTTTTATAATGTACCTAAAATAATTCAAATATTTTAAAAAGTATAATCTACAATTATAATGAGGGTACAAAAATATGGAGTCATTGAATAATTAAAGCCTTATTAGCGGCTCCATTATAAAAAATAAATAGTAAATGCAAATGAATGCCACGGGCAGGTGATAAAATATGACAAACTCTCACTTCATATTAAGTCATAATATATTATACCATTAGCGGGTATAAGAATGAGTTTTATAAAGTCTTTTATTAACATTTTACACAAATATAATAAATTACAATTAATTTACTTCTTTTATATAACACTACAATAGTATTGTAGACTATGTTTTCAAATATGGAGAGAAAAGATGTAGATTTTGATGTATCGTGATATCATTCTCTGATTTATTATTTTAATTTTGTATTTTAAAACAATGTTTTAACTGACGTGCTATTACATAACTTTTTTAAGTAGTTGGTATCACTCGGATAACCTAATGAAAATCGGGAACATGAACAGCAACAAAACATGCATCATCACATCTTAATGTCTTCTCCGGTCGACCCCCGTTCAATTCAAACAGGGATCAAAATTATGACGATATGAATCAAGATTCGAACCCTTGGTGATGCGCTCGTCGTAGATGTATTCGTCTAGCAGGAGTTGGCCATCAGCCGCTACATAAACCCTTCGAATAATATGAAAACAAAAAAAGTCTTAATGTGAACTTCATGGTACTCCTCATACGTCGCCATTTTTCGTGTTATACATACATAATCGCAGATCACTTTGTACAAAGTCTACCATATGACTGTAGTTTATACTAATATTATCTAAGTATGTGTAAGTTCCAAATATTTTAATGAAATTTGACATGAAGATAGAATATATATCAATAAATAACCTGGAAAGGAAATACAATCAAAATACGGGATGAAAGTGTGTGCAGGCGAAGTTGCAGAAATTAACTAGTATATCTATAAGTAGTTATAGAAGGTAGTCAATAAAGAATAGCACAATCATAAAGATAGAGGCTATCTTTTGTTTGAATAAATCACTTGGAAAAAGTGTAATACGGAATGACAGTATTGTTAATTGAAGTCGCGGGTACCAGCTAGAGGATAGATACTATTTAGCTAAGGTAATTAGTAAAGAATAACACGGGAAGTGCATAATGCATGCGGCACCGTTAGGAACCAGTGGAGCCGCACCGCGGCGTCTGCGCCCGCGCACCGAGATCATTATCTAGAACTACCGGTCTAGATCCGACTATAAATCATTATTAACTGACCGTATTGACAGTTACATCTACATTTTATTGAATTAGCTGTATTCAGAGTATACAGCAATATAAATAAAGTCCTCGAATCATAAGTTCGACTCTGCGTTACATGCGTTTGACTTTACAACACGCGAATAGCTCTTCATCTTCCTCATCAGTCATTACCCTGAGTTTTGAGACTGGTTATAACTTTACCACTTTATATTATTAATGCTTTGGACTATATGAGTTTCTTTGGTCCCTAAATTGTAGATACTATACCGTATTCATCTTTCGAAAACTAAATATGCAATATTAAGTAACTGCATGTGCAATTATACTGAAAAATAATGAAAAACAACAAAGAAGAACTTTAAAATTCCGTATTCAAGTTACAAAAACCGACTTCAATCGCATTATTCAGGATATCTCATCTAGTATTTAGATCTAGTTTAAATTGGATTGGATGCGAAAAGCACTAGCTTACAAATAAAAAAACTAAGAACTAGTTTACAAAATTTAACGGATTTGATTAAATCTTATATGCAATAAAAACCAAAGTTTTACTTAAAGAAAAATAAGCAGTAATCGTGTAAAAAAACAAACATAAAATTAAAAAAAGATACAGTTTAATTTAGAATCTCCTTTTCTAAGTGTTGTTGTTGTTGGAAAAATTAAGTCCCTAAAAGCATCGACTTCTTCATTACCTTATGCGACAAATAAAGGTAAACGTCTATAACAGGTTTCCATAAGATATTACGGGCCTACATACTTACAAATATTCAGGTATAGGTACATTATCATAATTGGTATATGTACATAGGTCGTTCTTCAACGTTTCGATCTAAGTAAATGGGACCAAACACACAAGTCTGAACTGGACAAGAAGTAGTACACTAATAAGTAGGTATGTACTTACTTATTTCCTAACAAAATAGAAATTATAAACAAAACCGTTATGAAAATAATAAAGAATAGAGCATACTATATGAAGACTGGTAGACAAGGTAATTAGATATATAATAAAGAATTGTTTAGTTCAATAACTTAACTCAATCTAATTCTACTGGCATCTGTAAATCGAAGAAGATACTACTACTGAAAATTGCTGCTTACAGTAGAAGGTACGACAGCAATTTACTTAGTTTAGGAAGAGTCTAATATGTTTGATAATATAACTCGGTTGTGGTGGTATCGGAAGTAAGGTGGTGTAACACAGCTTTAATTCCGATAGTAGCAGGTTTGATTTCACACACCAGAAATCATTTGCATTCGTGAGTATGATTGCTTGTACGGGTATTTTCATTGCTTGCTTGAACTGTTTTTACTGCATTTCAAATAATAGTGTTAACAATAGTGTAACAGTACTTAAATGGGTGTTGTTACTATAGTAACACTGGTTGCGGTATGTATTTGAGTCTTTCTATCAATTATAAAATACTGGTAGTAAAAGCTCTACTTAAGTTGCGACTAGTTGATGCTGTGTGAATGGTAGGATTATTATTATTATTAGTTACAGTAAAATAAAATAGTTACTAGTAGGTACATTATCATAATAGACCGGGATATTGTTTGCGCAGAGTAGAAAGTAAAGCGTGATCGATTGTCCAGTTTCACTTTTATTGTTCTGTAAACTGTGCAAATTAGATCCAATCTTTACGCATTGCTACCAACTTCAAGACACTCAGAGATGTTGTGTGTTATAATTAAAACTAAATTAAACATAACTCACAGCACGATCTGTTATGGAACTGGAAACTAATTTCAATATAATGAAATAGGATGATTTGGTTCCACATCTTTTTATAATCTTGATCTATATCATACTCAAACGGGAATGGAAACAAATCACGACCGCCCGAGCCGAGGCTTGAATTCCTAGTGGTGCTCTCAGACTGAAATCATATCCGTCAGACAGGAGTTGGTCAGCTGCTCCCCAATTCCTGCCGCAGGTTTGGAGTGCCCTTTGCTCTCGCCCCCTTTTTCGTCCGGTAAGGTGTAAGGCATACTACTGCCTATACCCGTATTAAGTAAACTAACAGATATTGTTATTTACTCAACTTATTCTCGATTATGTTTCAAGAACAACGGTAAAAAATGGATTTGATTTAAATATATATTTATATTATACTAACCCATGTATTGTCACCTATATGTTGCCATTCTTTAGAACTCGTCCAATGTCTCCGTACCTTATAATTTCACTGAATATTTTATATAATATTGAAACCTTTAAGAAAAGAGCAAATACGCCCTTAAAAGGCTGGCTACTCTTGTGGTGCTCATGGACAGCAATAAAGACTTGCCTAAAAAGAGTGCTGTAAGATTGCCGCTCTGTCAAAAAAATACTTCTAACTCAAATACTGTATGCAAAATCAGCAGCTGTAACATAAGAAGGTAACTGTTACTGGCAGCTTGTCTACCATTCTTTTTATAGACTTTATATTTTTGATATCTATTGTTTAAATGTCAATTAACAAACTAATTGTTTTGTTACTTTCCTTCTCGCTGTGAGCCCTTTTGGGAAAAATACACATTTTTACTAGTATTTGTTTTTATTAAAGTAGTAGTTGTGTTCCCGCTCCAGTAACAGTAACTAATCCTAGAAGAACTAGATATTTTGTAGCTTACGTGTGCGGAATTATGTATTGATAATTGTTATGTGAATGTTTGTATGTAATTATAAAAACTATGATGTACATCATACTTATACACGTAAGTTATCGGTAACCTGAGGGTAATCTATGCAATCATGCAATTCTTGACATGAATACAAAATAGCGGAAAATTATATAATAAACTAGCTGTTACTAACGACTTTATCTGCTTTGTTAAGAAAAATGTTAAGTCGATGATCATCCTCGTAGTACAATTTAATTTATTTTCACATCATATTTCATTAGGAATTCATTAGTAGTATAGGGAGTACCTATGTATATATATATGAATAATATTTTTTTTAATTAGTAATAGAGACCTATAAGAAAATCATAACATTATCCATTATAAGG